ACAACGCATATTCCAAAGTTTCCAAAAACCACACTGCTCTCCAAGAGCATTTGGCCATGCCCTCAACAAAAAGATCGTTAAGACCCCACTCTTTTGATGGCCAGGTAATCCGATATTGACTCAAACAGTTTCATTCGATAATTCTACTGAGCATCAATCCCAAAAGAGCGTCGCATGTCCAATCTGCACTCTAGGATTCGTTTCAGGCGATCGTTCCCCATGCCCAGGAGGGCCATCAAACAAGCCGGGGAAACCTGTTTTTCTAACAAGAACCATGGCCTTCGGTGGACACCTTTCTTTCGGCTGGCAACAAAGAGAACCTGGGCTGAGGTAGTGCACTGACTGCCTGATAGGTCTTGACAGTAGGCTGAATGAACAGCTTGTCAGTCAAAACATCAACAAAAAAATGCAAGCCTGGACTTAATTCCAATCTAGAAGCGAAAGCATCCTGGCTGGCCCTTGCCAATGACCAGAACAGATGCAAAAAAATCATCAGTTCTTCGATCATCAGTCGAAACTTGGCGAAACAATTTCTCCATTGGCACCTGCAAGCATCTAGACTCAGCAACCTGTCCACGCGAGCTTTGCTGGGACCATTGTCCGCATGCCTGAGATGACCGAACTTGATGAACAATGTGCATCAAAACAATGTTTTGGTCTGCGCTACACTCTTGATGAATAGCAAAGCCTACCCATCGTCTCAACAAACTGGCACAAGTGTCAGCAGTATTTCCAAACAAATTTGAAAAGTCATGCCAGTTCGGGCTACAAGTTGCGATTGTCGATCATAGTGTTTGCTAAAGAATTTCCGACGGGAACCATCGTAGTTAGGTCGCTTCCGAAAATTTTCCATGTTCTGAGGCATCGGCTTCTGTTCCGCAAAACCTTGCATCCCCTGAAACTGGTACAATGCGTCGAAAGTAAAGCGGACTGCTTCATGCTTTGACTCAGTTGACGCTTCACCCTCCACTGGCCCAGAATCAGTTTTGAGATGACTTCCCACCACAGGGTTGCAAGAGCCAACTGGTTTTGGCAAATCCTCTGACTGTTGGGCCAGCGCGCGAAGAAACCTCGCAGAACAATGCTTTGGGCATCTTTGAACTGTGACATGTCAGTCTCACAAGTCTAGACCTTATTACTGTCATGCTAGGTTTCAGGCCTCTTTCGGTCTACTGACATCTTGCTGGCCGATGTAGTTCCACGACGACTCGGTTGTATCAAAGTCAGAAGGAGAAACATTGAATCAACTTCAATTTGGGGACATAGGTGAACACAGTGCTGATGTCAGCAAAATCCTGGATCCAGAGCCATCTTCTAATTTTAATGACAAGAGCTCGTAGCCATAAATTCTTGTTGCTTGACACTTGAACACCTTCCTGCGCGACTGAGGTTTGGGCACAGGTTTCTGGCACGCTTCCTTGATGCCTGAGAGGCGACTTGGGGAAGCGACCATGAAGAAACTTGTTGGGAAGTGACTGTGAAGAAACTTGTTGGAATCTGGCCAGGGACTACAGTTTGCATGAGCCCTGAACTCTGCTCGGGAGGCTCAAGTGGAAGACGATCACCGCTTTCCTCACCTTACTCTGAGTGTCGCTTGCATGGGGGGCAGAACTGACTGGCAGGGCTGACTTGCTTTACTCACCCTACTCTGAGAGGTAAGTTCAATCATCGAGTAAGCAACTCAAAATTAAATAGAAACTTGGGTTGTTGGTATGTTCTGCCCAATGAACTGTCCAATGAACACCTCAGTTATAGTTTGTGCATCTCAGGGCCTGACACAGTTTCACCGCGGCCAGTGCTGGACCATGATCCGACCATGGAACTCCCTTTGGGATACCAGGAGGTCACGGACCGAATGCTAGACAGTGCTGCCCCCCCCATGCACTGTATGTTTGTCGCAGCTGTAGCTGTGAGCAAGTATCTATCCCATTCTATCCCCAAATTCTTATCATCCCAATGTTTTTGGATCGTGCAGGAAAAGTCAATAGCATAACAGCTGGCACTCAGTTGGATTTTCATGTTGGCGCTTGCATGCTCCGATGATAGTTTCCCCGAAATGTCATGAAGCTCACCTCGGAAACATACTGAGCCAATCTGAGCCAGACCCCAAGTTCACAACTTGCATGACCCACAGATTGGACGGTGATCCACTCCAAGGCCCCAGACATCGTTATTGCCAGCACCTGGCAACCTGTCGCAAGTACCCTGAAAACTGATATATTGTAGTTTTATGATATTTATAAATTCAATAAGAATCACAAAAGGAAAAATAACCCTTTCACATATTGGGATGAAATCCAACCAGTTTTGATTCAGTAACCAATCAATTTGTCAAATTCCTTTCACCAAGTTCAAGGAAATCGTAACCATGCCTTCCATACCGCTTCCACAGAAGAGGGGCCACCCAACACCTCCAGGATTCTGAGAGCAAAGCATTGAGTTTGCGCAACTTCAGTGTCAAAGCTTGGTACTTTGCTTTCTTAATGGTTGTTCGCCTGTCAGATCAAAGTTGTGCTTCGTTTAAAAGTTAAAACGTTGAAAATCAGAGAATATGGAAAATCCGGTCGCGCTGCTTTCGCAATCTTTCGCACCTTACAATTTCTTGAGCTGCTTTTGCCGTTTGGATCGCATCATCCAGCTGCACAGCATCAGTCTGGCAGAAGAATCGTCCAGCTCTTTCAACTAAATGCCAATGACAAATCAGACCTATAAGACCATATAAGACCTATAAGACGTAAACCATCGTAAACGTTCCTAAACCTATGAAATCACATTAAATCTGTTAATGCGAGTATCTGAGTATCTGGCTGCGAACTCTGATGACAGCCTCAGCAGATGCTTCCCCTTTCTGTCCATCGGGCCCTTCATACCGCATCCGCAGGGAACAACGAGTTCCTTGTCCTGCAGCGGTGCAACTGAAGCGATCCAACTTTTTCATTTTTTCAACGGAACTCCTCCGTCGGCATTCGGCAGTTGAAGCTGAACAAAGCCTTGAAGTTCAATACTTGTTTCATTTTTACAAAATGCCGACGAAAATGACTACCAACCACTGGACATCATGACGCCATCAAAGTGAACGAGGCACTAAGAAACCTATAGAATCTTACAGAAACCTCATTTGCTCTGCATAAACTGCAACTTCGAAGCCCAGAAAATGCTTCATGAAACGACTAAGAAGCCCCTCTTCTCCATCGTCCATTTGCATAGGCTGCGCCGTAGCAAGTTGACTCCACTCTGTCTTCAAGGAGTTTTCGAGTTCCCAAGAGGCCTCACAGGCAACAACTTTGACCTTGTGACAAGGCTTGACTGGGATCTGGCCTCGATCAATGTCTTCATCTCTTTCAGGGGCTCCTGGTCAGAACAAAAAAAGAGGAAAACTCTTCCGTAGAGATTCGAAAGGCTTGTTGTTCAGCAAAGACTTCCGTCTCGCCGAGTCAGCAAGTAGAAACGAGACTGCTGGCATCACCATGCCTGCCATCTTCTACCATCCCTAGAGTGGCATCCCTGTCTTAAGAGTCTTAAGAGTCTCTTAATTGTGATTGTGCTGCTTCTATGCCGTCCTTCTCATGCCACATGAGCTCTGCAACTGTGAGCTCACCTTACTCAGGAGCAACGGTCTACCGAAAGGATCCAAAGGAGTAGGTAGTGTACTGCAGGGCACCTCTTCCTACCATGCTGCACAATGCTGCGCAACGCTCTGCCTAGCTGGGCTGTGCACTGCCGGGTGCAGTCAGCGTCCGAGCAAGTTGTAGAGACGGTGGAGCAGGTGGACCAGCAACTCCATGAAGTCGGACGGTGGCACAAACACCTCCCGCAGGTGCAACCACTCACTCATCATGTTTGCATAGGTACTCCCTGCACATAGTCACTCCCCGGCCATGATCTTGGCAGATTGACAGTCTGTAGATGTCCTTCGCTCAAAATGAGTGTCAAATCACCAAAGAAAAACACCGAAAGGGCGATGCCACGATGCCTGGCTTCCCACTGCCCTTGAGCATTCGGAGGATCAGCGGTTCCGCCACAGGAAAGCTCTCAAGACCTGCTGCAATGACAGAATCTTGGCTTCCCAGTGGAATTTTGAAACCACGCAAGCTGCTCTTCAAATGACATGAAGACTCAAAGCAAGCGGCTGGAGCCAACAAAGATGTTAAGGCTTCAGACTTCGGAGAGAACGAAAGCGAAATAGAAGAAGAGGAAGAGGAAGAAAAAGAAAAGGAACACATCTCCGAAGACATTCTGGCATGTGCGAAGCGCCTGAAACAAAGACCTCTCCAACCTGCAGCCAACAAATGTTCAAGTCGCTACCCCTTACAAGGTAACAGGAGAAGAAATTCATGCAAATTGATCTCACCATAGTCTCACCTTGTCTTCCTTGCCTTGTCTTCGTTGTAGCGATAGTACGCTGGCAACGGAGTCCACGCCGCATAGAATGGCAACCGCTCCTCGCGAGCCTCAACCTGATACTGAATCTCTTCACCTGGATCAGGCCACGAACATTGCAGCTTCGACAACAACGATCTTAAAATCACTTATACGTGATCACTTATATATAAGTGATGTTAAGTACACACTTTATATAATATGTAATATATATAATATTTTCAATGTATGGGGAGTTTTGACCAACTCAAATCGGGAAAGCACTTGGAGATACCAAGATACTTGGAGTATAAATTCAATGAAAAATTCAGAGACGACCTTGAAAAATTCTGGAGTGAACCACTGAGAGTCATCTGAAACATTCTCAATCCCAAACAATCCCGCGGCACCTTCCAAGCGTGGGAGGGAACTCTCGGATGATGATGCGGCAGTTTGATGAAAAAGAGAGTGGGCGACTGTGAGCACATGACATGACAGTTACAACCTGAAAGCAATGAGACAAGACCTGTATGTAAGGAAAACTACTTATATATATATATATCTTATTGTAGTCCACATGAGATCCATCCCAATTGTTTTGCCCCCCGATTTGGTGGTCCCAGTGCCCCGGTGCCCGTGCCATGGTGCAGCTCTTGTGGGAAGTTGTTGGTGGCGCTGGCGCAGGCGGAGAAGCCGCGCTGGCGCAGGCGGAGAAGCCCTCGTAGAGATAAAACGTGGTACAAAACCTGGCAAAGACGAACCTAGGAATGCAAGTTCTTGATCATTATATAATTTAATGTATACTTGTATTACATGATGGTATATCATACACGTTAAATAAATTATATAGTATATAGTGTATATCCATCATTATCCATCCTTGCTATCGAAGATATCAGAAATTGTTACAGAACTACACTCCTGACTGCAATTCATCGGTTTGTCCTGACTACACTCTGCAGCATGATGTGGTAGAGATTGCACGGACAGCAACCTCCTACGACAGGTGGAATCCTGGTGCGCTGTGGTCAGGAATTGACTTCGGATAAACACCCTGAGCGGCTCTCTACTGGTGCTTTGGTGGAGGCTCTTGACACATGACATGTGTCATGAACCTTGAGTTACTAGGCTTACTATCTAAATGCCATTCTTCTCTAGGAGCTATGCCTTGTCGGGGAGCGGCTGCACTACAAGCGTCAGAGTGGGAAAGGTCCTGAGTCTGGATGGGCTGAAGACTTAGACGGTTTTCATCAGATTTGCGCGGCGAGACGTATCGAGCTATGACTCAACAATGTCGATGGACCGGATGCCTAGGTTACAGTGCGAGTGGCTGGAAAGGACACCGAGGGAGACTACAGATGATTTGGATATTTGGTTTCATGATGTTTCATGTTTGTTCTTCTTGGTCTTGCTGCTTGTGTGGCTAAACAAAAATCAAGATTAGTCAAGACATTGATCTGCATCCTGCCAACGTTGTGTCTTTAAGACACTATAAGACAAGGGAAGACCTTTGGCCATCAGCTCCTTGATGAGCTTTTGATGAACACGTGGCTTTGTTGGGACTGAAGCGGATGTGTTGTGATTGGTTCATTTTGCTAATTTTATCCAGAATTATCTAACGTGTTGAAACCTCTTAGCAATTTTTCGCCCAAACCCATGTTGGTTCATCATGGTTCATCACGCAAAAGTGAATCCTCGGGCACCATTTTTCCCGGATTTTATGGGAAGAAAATCTCACAGATCTGCGCTTGGAAAAAGAAAGCTGGCTTCTAAGATCGTCTAAGATAACACATGTTTCGCCTAAAATCGCCGGGCCCATCAAGACCATCAAGACCATCAAGACCATCAAGACCAATAAGACAACCATGCTACAAACATGCCATGAATATCTATGTGTCATCTATGTCTACCACCAAGATCCTGGTCCTGCCTTGTCCGCGACGGGCCATTGGGCAGGAGCTTGTTCGCAAAGCTGGCGACGAAGCATCCCAGTCCCGAGAGGCTTCGGCAGGATTCGGAGGATTCCAGCAGAAGATTGGGACTGGAAGCTTGACACATCTTGGCACATCTTGACACATCTTGACACGATAAGCACCTTGAAGCGAATTGCTGTAATTAACTTGCGGCTATATTGAGATAACCGATGTTGCCCGGCAGTTGCCCTGTCCGTCCATTTCAAGGCATTTCAAGGCAAACGAGACAGTTGACACCAAGGAAAGAAGGTGCGCATCCTGGGTTTGCATGGCGAAGAGCACCAGAAATACAATGGCAAGAATGGAGCGATCATGGCTTTTGACCCTGCCACGGGCCGCTATTCTGTGCAGCTCAGTGTGCAAACTATCTCAACTTCTGACCTCTTCCAAGTTTTTGAAGTAGGACTAATTAGGATGAGAGCGCCAACAAGCGCCCCTCAGCAACCAGAATGACCACCACAATATTCACACAATCCTCGTTCGATCATCGTACGATCATAGTAAAATCATCGCATGTCATCACCATCAGTCGTTGTATGTCGTTGTCATTGGCGCAAAAATGCTGTCAGATGCTGCTTTCGCCACAACCAGGAAGGTGGTGGTGCTTAGCGACAAATCTGTGGGCTTGCAATCGGAAGGTGCTACAATCTTGTTGCTAAAGCACGACAACGTGGAGCTTCACCCCGATCAGTATCTTGGACCTTAGATATCTTAGATCACTTCCATCATTTGGTTTTGATAATCCTCCTAGAGAAAATCACTTTTGGATACCTTTTTGTCCTGAAATTTAGTTGACATATATTTAATGTATTGAATTATAATATGGTATGTATATATAAGTGTGTTTTGAATATTTATATGGTACTATGGGTGCGTGCATCAATAAGGTTTTGTGCATGTTCGTGCCATTTCAATGCCATCGGATTTCCTTACATCGGCCTGTCACCGCTAGGATTGAGAGAGACCAGGTGGGCAATGGAGATGAAATTGTCCTGCTGGGTGCGGGAGAGGCAAAACGCAAGCTCTACGAGGTGCGTTTGGACCCGCCGTATTGGTACGACAAGGCCATTGAGCGAAGCTGGGATTTTCGCTGGGATTTTCGGGGGGTTAAGATGAGAGGGACACCTGGGTGCCCACAAAACCAATGGGTTTCTTCGAAAAAAAACAGTTTTTGATGGTGGTTGGGTTCCTCATAAGAAAGCTCCGTTTGGATCCATTTCAGTGGACTTGCCCTGCCTGACTGGATCCCTGCGGGGTGGGCATGAAAGTTTCACAGTGGATCACCATGCTGGAGACTAGCAGGGGGGACTAATGCATTTTAATGTGCTGACAACTTCAAATCTTAAGACAATCCCAGGCGTTTGCGGAAGACAACTCAGAAATCGAACGTGTACATGTTGGATCATGTTGGGCATTTGGAAGTTGATGAGGTCCCTTACCATAGGATTGTATTTGACCATGGTCACATATGGTCACTGTCCTTACCACACGAGCTCTGGCGATTTTTCTGCTGACTTTGGCCAGTTCAATTTCTTGATCGTTGCTACCTTAAAGGAACAGCTTGTAACTAAAGCTATGCCCCCACATTACTACTGCAACTGATAGGAACTCATAGGAACTCTTCGCGAAGGTAGTGGCGAAGGTAAATAGCTGTGTCGGGAACCAACCCACAAATCACCACGGGTTTGTCAACATGGTGGAGAATTTGATTTCCTTGCCAAAGACAATTGTATCATTTCCGAGCGGTTTCATTCCTTCCTTGCAACAGGGCATCACAGCATCCCCGCAAATCATCAAAGCAGAGTCCTCCAAAGTTTCTGGCAAACACAAAAACGTATACTACATATTAATTATTAGTTTCTTCTTATTACTAGATCATTACTGTGATTATTATACATATTTGGCGAAGAACTGCCATTTTGGGTTGGGATGACCGAGCAGAAAGATCAAAGCCACTTAGATCATCTCAGATCGCTGATGCAATGGACCATGAAGCCGTTGACCTGTTGACGTTTAAGGAGTGCTGGAAGCTAAGAATGACTTCGAAGTGCTCGACTTGACTCCGCAATTTATTCCTGACATGGGTGTCCTCAAGAAGGCCTATCGGAAGATTTCATTAGCTGTTCATCCTGACAAGTGTCTTGGCTGGAGCAAAAGCTGACCGCAGCAATGCTCAGCATATGCAGGCATTGTTGCGTAGCATCGCCAGCTTCAGCTGATCCTAGGAACAAGCATCCACAAGCAGCAGATGCTTTTCGACGCCTGAGCTTTGCAGGGCTACATTCTTGTGCATCGAAGGATATCAAAGGATATCGAAGGGTTGAGGTTGGGTGCCAGAGTGCCGACTCCTATAGCCTATAACCATCCTATGCATCCAGGATTATTCAGGTCATAAGTTTTTGTGCAACTTCCCATACCGGCCACTCCTTTGGTGACTCGTTGGGGTGTTGTTTTGTGCCTCACCGGTTTGGTTTCTGGAGATTCACCATGATTCACCGATGGGGAGCTGAGGAAAAGTCTACGGAGCTTTTGAAACTTTGATGGACCTCAGGCAGCAGAGGCGACTGCTTTGGATCTTGGGGAAGTTGACTCCAGATATGGAGGAGCAGGTTCGAAGCTCAGGCCAAATGGCAGTGATTTTCGGCCTCATTTGCGGGTATAGATGGTATAGTGAGAAAGGAAGTGAGACTAAGTGAGAGTCTGAGAATGTTTGAATTCAAGTGTTGCACTTAGGGAAAGCCATTGGCAGCAACAACAACTACAACAACCACAACCAATACTATTGAACATCTATTGAATAGATTATGATGCATCATTGTGCATCATGTAATATCATTCCATATCATTCCACCTTTGTTCTCATATGTTGTTCTCATATGTTCCCGTGTTCATCCGTGTTCCCATATTGGGTAGATGCTTCAGGTGATTTTTGATGAAGAAGAGGAAGATGAACTTTTCCAGTGGTGGTGGGAAGCGACGGTTCCTGAAATCGAGAAGCAGGTCGCGGAGTTCGAGGCCCGGGGAAGATCTTCAGTTTATCACATCGATAAGCTATAGCTATGCGCTGTGACAGAGATTGACAGATTATGAATGCTATTTCTGTAAAATCAAAGTTTGGTGTGTATTTGGGATCCGCACTGGGCACTTCCGTTGCAGAGGGACAGCAATTCGACGAGTACGGTGCCATGTGGATTTCGGATGGACTTGGTGGAGTACCTCGAGCGCATGTCATTTGTGAATATTGAGTTCATGCCACGAAGTGAACTTCGTATAATGTGTAAATCCGAATTAAATCCGTATAAATTATTTATCAGACGCACACACCCCACATGCTGTAAGCAGTCAAGGTTCTTAACAGACAATCAAGACACGAAATAAAAAATATGCCAACGGTAACAACGGCGAAGATTTATGAAGCACAGTGAGGGTTTGAACATGTTTGAACTCAGGATGTTGGTGAGGTGAAATGGATTGGTTTGGAGACTGCCAAGCGCCTTCACCGCGACGAAGAAGGTGTCATCTTCATTGATGTCCGGGATCGTCGGGATTTCGTCGCCGGCCACATTGCCGATGCTTATTGCACGCCCTTACCGGAGATCATTGTAGCTTGGTCCTGAGAGGAACATGGGAGCTATGGCCATGTGGACGAAACCGGATGAAATATGGTGAAATTCACCAAAAACTCTGTGAAAACTATGTGACAAACATAAGCCATGAGGTCCATGACATTAGGTTCTCGGAATTCATGCGTACAGACATCGTTCTTGCAGCTTCTCTGTGATAGTGCTGATGAGGCAGTCCATCTGGATCCTGAAAGATCATGAAAGGATATGAATGTGGTTTGCACATGATTGTACACGTACAATCATGTACATATTATATGATCATATATGTACATAATTCCCATATATTGTACTGACTTTATCGTCATAACACGTCATAACTTTGAGGATTTTGGCTTGGTGAATGTCTTCATGTCGGCTGATGATCAACTTATCCACAAACTTTTGAAGCTCGGACTGCAGAATATCCGGTCGTTGGGCAGCCATGAAATCTGATACCAAGGCAAACATCACTCCATCAAGGTTGGAACATGTGTGAGGCCAAATAAGGTTTCAAGTTTTAAACGTCCGCTTTCCCATCCTTTTGAGAGGATATCGTTCTGATGCCACTGAAAACTGCATAGCTTCTTCGGAAGTCCGAGGAAGCACCGCACGAAGCCCATTATTGTGTACAGTGCCTTGGCTGGTCCTGGGAGATGTCAGTGATGAGTGACTTGGAGGCTTGGAGGCCTTGGAGGCCTTGGGCTTGCCTTGCTGCAGGTGAGGTGGCAACTCCCTTCTCGCGCTGCAGGGCCTTTTGCCGATGGCTTCTTCGTGCAGGGCATCAAACCATCAAGGTGGAGCGGGTGAGAAGACTTCGTGTCTCGCAGAAATATCAGAAACCAGCGGCCCCAGCAAGCTGTCCTGTAAAGGGATGCAATTTGCAGGGCCAAAATTGCAAGAAGCACCAGTATGTTCTTTCTTTCTGTGAGCGTGCTGCCGTTTGTGGATTTGCGAATGGGCCTGTGCCAAGTACAGAACCATCTCAGCCACAGTGTTGGGCCTTCTTTCTGGATAAAATCCATCATGTTGTTCTTTAAACCTTGACTCTGTTGAATCTGGAAAGCTCCATCCAGAATCCCAGGTCCCAGCAGTTGCTGAGATCTGTCACCTCCGAGCTCCCGAGGCGGTGGCATTTTTGGATGGAAGCATAAAGATGGCTGCGGCCTCAGTGTGTGACAAACTGTGACAGGTGGACCCAGGTGGACCGAACCGCCGATCTCAGTGCAGTTTACCGCAGACACAATCCATGGTGAGGCCCAGTAGCGCGACCAGTGCAGGAGCAGTGGAGCTGCGGTGATCCTGACGGTCCTGCCATGTCCTGCCATGTCCTGCCCCACCAAGAGAAGGTTTAAAACAAAAATCCCAAAACTTAGGGCGCGACTTACGGCGCGACTTATGGCTCAGAAGCCAATGGCATTCAATGGCATGTCAATGGCGGCTCACCAGGACACCAGCTACGAACTCATGGACGCTGACAGCAACGCCAGCAGCTTTGCTGCTTCCCTGATCTTCCAAGGTGTGCTGGCAGATTGAGCCCAAGAGGGGCACAAGAGGGGCCCACCAGCATAGTATGTCATAGAGATGCAGAGTGCTATGCCAGATGCACAGAGTGCTGGCGGCTCTTATTTTCCATTTTTCGAAGCTGATCAGCTCTGGTGTGAAATGTGCCCAGGGAAGGCTGTGAATGCTTCATAGCTCAGCATAGCTCAGCGGAAGGTGAGACAGGTGAGATGCCGTTGAAGATGGTGCTGTCCGAAAAGGAGAAACATGGAGAAGCCAGGAGTGCTGAGGCCAGCATGGTCAGGAGGACCAGGAGTCTAGCACCGCGTCCATAGTGTCCACTGAGGCTGGTCCTGAAGACGGAGCAGATCAGTGGAAGTCTCAGGGCCATTTCATTTCGAAGTGATCTATCTATCTATCTACCTATCCATCTACCTATCCATCTATCTATCTTATCTACCTATCTATCTTTCTATCTATCTTTCTATCTATCTATCTATCTACCTATCTACCTATCTACCTATCTACCTATCTATCTACCTATCTACCTATCTATCTATCTATCTATCGATCTATCTATCTATCTATCTATCTATCCATCTACCTACCTATCTATCTATCTATCCATCTACCTACCTACCTATCTATCTATCTATCTATCTCTCTCTCTCTATCTATCTATCTATCTTATCTGGTCTAATCTAATCTAATTTAATCTTATCTAATCTGATCTAATCTCATCTAATCTTATCTATCTGTCTATCTGTCTATCAATCTAATCTAATCTAATCTCATCTCATCTCATCTCATCTAGTCTCATCTATCTCATCTAATCTAATCTCATCTCATCTATCTCATCTAATCTAATCTCATCTCATCTCATCTCATCTCATCTCATCTAGTCTCATCTATCTCATCTAAATCTATCATCTATCCCATCTATCCCATCTATCCCATCTATCCCATCTATCCCATCTATCCCATCTATCCCATCTATCCCATCTATCCCATCTATCCCATCTATCCCATCTATCCCATCTATCCCATCTATCCCATCTATCCCATCTATCCCATCTATCCCATCTATCCTATCTATCCTATCTATCCTATCTATCCTATCTATCCTATCTATCCTATCTATCTATCTTCCTATCGATCCTATCGACCCTATCGATCCTATCGATCCTATCTATCCTATCTATCCTATCTATCCTATCTATCCAATCTATCCAATCTATATCTATCCTATCTATCCTATCTATCCTATCTATCCTATCTATCCTATCTATCCTATCTATCCTATCTATCCTATCTATCCTATCTATCCTATCTATCCTATCTATCTTATCTATCTTATCAAACTATCTATCTGTCTGTCTGTCTGTCTGTCTGTCTATATCTATCTATCTATCTATCCATCTATCTATCCATCCATCCATCTATCTATCTATCTATCTAATCTTATCTTATCTTATTCTATCTTATCTTATCTTATTTTATCTTATCATATCTTATCATATCATATCATATCATATCATATCATATCATATCTAATCTAATCTAATCTATCTATCTATCTATCTATCTACCTACCTACCTACCTACCTACCTATCTATCTATCTATCTATACTGATGATTTGATTATCTAATTAATTCATTTCCATTTCTTATATCTCTTGCGGTCGAATTGTTAGTTGGATGAAATTCGAGCAAAAGAATCAACCAGCCACAAGCCTTGACTTTTTGATACTTTTTGGACGTTCCGTAGTTTTGTGTCTATCATATAATTATAGATTATAGATTATAGATAGATATAGATTATAGATTATAGATTATAGATTATAGATTATAGATAGATAGATAGATATATAGATTATAGATTATAGATTATAGATTATAGATTATAGATAGATATAGATTATAGATTATAGATTGTAGATTATAGGTTATAGATTATAGATTATAGAGTATAGATGTTGCACATCTTTGCACCATGGTAACCGAGCTTGCTGAATGAACAATCAGCATGAAGCCCTGTGCAGACAATTGAAGCCAAGGGCAAGCACTGACCAGGGATGGCAGAGAGCCCCGACCTTGTGATTTCCTCCGAACTTTGTAGGATGAATGTCAGCCAATGCAGAGATTGGCGGATTCTGGTGAATGTGAAGGAACAAAGTGGAACACCAAAAAAATATTAAAACCCTTGACTCTACTGGCGTCCCATGGGGAAGTGCAAGTAACTTGTGCATCCCCACACCTGGTAAGTTGCGCCAGTTGCTCGAGGTCCGAACTTGGACACGCGCAGTGCGTCGCCGACATGTCACAGGCCAGAATGGGCCAGTGCTATTATTTGGTACCCTCCGATAAGCAATGTTATGCAATGTTTCCCCCCATTTGCGGATAATATTTCAAGTAAAAACTCCATTTATAATAAGATTAATAAGGGATTTTTTATTGCCATGTTTGGCCGGAGGGTAGCTCATGCGACAGACGCTGCAGGTATTTTTGCCTGTGATTATTTGCTGGTGCCACTTCATCACGAGGACGTCGGATGGACGGTCGGACGAAGTACGTTGAATCCAATTGGAGTCGGTTGTTTTGTTTAGTCCACTGCCTGATTCATCACATTTCACATGACTGGAATATACATGAATACACTAGAATGACTAGAAGCTACTCGGCCTTGTACGGATTTGTACGGTGAGACTGGGCCCAGGAAGAGCATCACTGGTCTCTGGCAGTGGCAGCTGAGCTAAGACTTGGAGTTTGCTCGGGACATCTTGGGACTTCCTTTGACTTTTTGCGACTGCCGATCTTGGACGACTGCCGGACTAACTAGAAAAGATGTTGCGGATGGGACCACCCCATAGGAGCTGCAGCACAGAATAGCAGGTAACAATCTTGCTTGCGTTGGACTATGTTGGACTGAAACATACTGAACCAGGGTAGCCATGGGTAGCCACCCAAAATGTTTGTTTTATCATGTTTTATCATTGTTTTATTATCATTTTACCCGTTTGGACTGAGATGTTTGGGACGTTGGCCACATCGGCCTCGACATTCAGGTGTGTCGTCCGTGGGCAGCCATTGATCAACTGGACAACTGGGTTGGAATCTCGGAACGGGATTTGAGGATTTTCAGGCCCATGAGATCCCATGGGATCCAATGAGATGTGGGATGATGTGGGGATGTTTATTGGATTCCAGCCTTTCCAGCTCCAATTTCTGGGCGATTCTGGGTGTTGTTTGAAGCGCTGCCTGCAGATCGAGAGGTTGGAGCGATGGCGTGGGAGAGTCGGGAGTTAGTCCCTGATGGTGTCAATGTGGGTGGATGGTTCTGCTTGGAAGATTGGTTTTATTCCCAGGCTAGCGGTGACAAGACAGGCCACTTTGTCGCCACTCCCAATCTGGACTACCAGCAGAAGACCTTCCAGCTGAATCACGACAACCTGGTTGGCCATGTTGGTACAATATTCTCCATCACAAAGTCAGAGGACTGGGTGATACCACATCAAGTGAATCCACAGAATTCAGTGAATACAGTGAAACAAAAGCCCTTTGTTGTTCCGCTTCCTTTCAGATATGTCAGATAGGTCCATGAAGTCGTCCATGCAGTGTCATCAGCATTGCATGATTGTGCGAATTTGCGGATACTCGTAGTCTGGTCACAGAGAGGAAGCGGTACTGCTTCGGCCCTACTTCGGATGTGAGTCTGACTTGATTAACCTCCTCTTGCAGAGCGGCATGGGTAGCAAACGAGTGCTGGATCTTTTCTGGCGACATCGTAGAAGCTATGTGTCCCCGATCGACTTTGCAAGGATCCGTTCCTGGATTCGCTGGATGGGTCTGCTTTTTGCAATTTTTGTTCTCTACACGTGGATGGACTCTTTTTTTTTCCCCCTCGTCCCTCACTTTAGATCAAATTTTGGTGATTTTGCCCAGGTGCTTTGGGGCTCAAGAAGATCAGATTGCCTCTCACATGGTGCATCAACTATGACAAGCCTTACTCCATCAGAGGCAAATCCTTTGAAGGCAAGGATCAGGACGCGACCATCGGCACGTCCCCATCCTTGGTGGACGACCCCTTTGAGAATGACCCGGCCTTCAATCCCAAAGGAATGCGAATTCCATGCGACAAATGGGCCTCCATTCCAATCAAAGTGGTTGAAGAGGTGCTTGAGGTCAGTCTTGGGGAACAAATGATGTTCCCCCAGATGGTTTGTCGATAAGCATGTGCACATCATTGCATGCCCAAGGATAAAAGAGGAACATATCAAAAGAATTCAAAAGATGTGCCAGTCGTGCTTTGAGTGAACCCAAACTGTTCCTTCCCCTATAATTTTTGCAGATTTGTGATATTATTTTGTGATTATTGCATATTTTTACACTGACATGTGAGATCTTGTGAGATCTTGTGAGATCTTGTGAGATCTTGTGAGTCTGTTAAGCTCTGAGGTGGCCGCAGACTTTGGGATTCAAGTCCTACTGGACCTGCATGCCTTCCCGGGTGGATCCAGCGCCGGCACCTTCAACGGAGTCTGGCCATTGAATCCGCGATTTTGGACGGCACACTTCAAGGAGAATTTCACCACCATCATCGTCCAGCTGTTGGATTGGATGGAGGCCTTGGGCAGGAAGAATCCCAAAGCCTTTGCTGGGCTTTACGGTCTTTCTCCCATGAACGAACCTGCTCATATGCGAGGCCTCTATGACAAGTCAGGTGCTGCTGTGCCAGTTCCATACCAAAAGGCTTATGATGAATTGGGCCTGAAAGGATGGGCGAGCATATCAACCACTGACATCCTCCAGACGTTGGCCATCAGTGTTGACGAGTTTCGAAAGCGTCCTGCGCTGGAACAGAAGATGCTTCTGATGAATGTCATCGAAACCGCATTTGCCGGCACTTTTGGTGGAAAGGAAGATGCTTCAGCATTTGCTGCCAGTCAAAAGGGTGAAGTTGGCTCTGTCACAGGGGCAATTGGCGCATGGTGGAAGGAGATCACCACAGAGTCAGAGAGGAAAAGATGGGCAGTGCTGGACCTGCACAATTACATTGCATGGAACCCTGACGTGAAGGGCTTTGAAGATATCGTGACTATGGAGGACTACAGGCGCTTGCTGAATGAGATGAGCGTTCCCTTCTTCCAGCAGCTTCGCAGCCGTTTGGAAATGCCACAGCCGCAGCTCCTGGCTTGCTCAGAGTACAGTGCAAGCACCAACCAGGATACCCTGCTATCAGTTACCAGTGGTGTGGGCCGGCGACCCATGAGTCTTCCACGAGAAATCAGCTGGCAACACCTTCGAGATGACTTCTTGCGATGTCAGCACAGGGCTGCTAGGGATCAGAAAATTGATATGTGGTTTTGGACCTACCACATCCGCAAGAACCGGAATTACCAAGGAGAGTGGTCCTTGCAGCACGTTCTTTCACCTTGGCCCCGGCTCCAAGGATTTGGACTGTTGTCTCTGGGCAGGTGCTTGGGTCACCTGACCTACACCTGTGGCTGGCTGTTGCTGCACTGGCTACGAGGGCCGTGGAGCTTCGTTTGGCGAAGTCGTTTCGGCTGCAAATTCGGCTTCAAGATCAGCTGCCTACCGTGATCAGCTGGCCATGTGGTGTCCATGAGCTTGGAAACTGCACGTTGTACATAAGGATTTGCGTATCAATCCGTATCAATGATCCATCCTGAATCATTTGTGGCAGAAATGCTGCCGGAATTTGACATAGTGACAAGATCCAATGCAGATCATTCCGAACTGCGGATACTGCGGCAGATGTCTGGCCGTGTGTGTGGAAAATTGTGGAAATGCGGTGCACGACTGGTTCAATGGTTGATCGAGTGCCTGATCGACATGGGGATCCTGAGAATTTTCTGCCGAGGCCAGTGCTTCGACTACCACCGTGGCTTTCCTGGATTCGCTCTACTCCACCTCCTCTGAGAGTAGACAGGCCCTACTTCAAACATCTTCAAACATCTTCAAACCTCTCGAACCCGCAATGGCATTTCTCCTCACTCAGTCTGCAGTGTTGAATAAGTGTTGAGTATTTGTTGAATATCTATCCCGGATATGTATTGAACAATGTATAATATTTGATGTGAAGGTCCGAAGCGCTTCACCTGCTTCACCCGCTTCAGGAGACTGTGGTACAGAAGCTTTGCCAATACTTGGAATGTGAGTGGCGAGTTTGCGGGGCAGTTGGCACCTTCCAGGCATCTCGCGTGCAGGCCTGACTTGTTGGTTTTGGCATGGCTGTTTTGTAGCCAGCTGTGGAGAACCCCCAGCAATGTCCATTCAGATTCTGTTGTTGCAGGCTGTGGTTGTGGATGTTCCACAACAAACGAACAATTTTGACTGTGGAATCTACGCCGGAGCCTCACTGTGTCGGGCAGGTGAACATGGTGAACACATGGTGAACACATGGTGAACACATGGTGAACACATGGTGAACACATGGTGAACACATGGTGAACACATGGTGAACACATGGTGAACACATGGTGAACACATGGTGAACACAGTGTGACCTGAGACCTGTGAAGTTTAAACGTGAAGCTTTGCAGGTGCTGGAGTTTGTGCCACTTGGCCTTCGCGGGGCGGTGAAAAATGCTGGACCCAGAGTTCTGCAGTTTTCTCATCAAAGTAGGGCCAAACTGTCCAAACTGATCTAAACTTAATTTATCTACATTTATACTACGTATATGTATCTGCAATTATCTGCATATATTCTGTATTCTGTATACAATATATTTATCTTATTGTACCGTGCCACTGACCGCGTCACTTGCTTGTTCTACCCTTGCAGTTCTCTCCAGGAGCTGAGTCTGAGCAGAAGTAACATATCATGACCAGGTATTATGCAACACCATCAGGGCCACATTTACAATCAATTGGTCAATGGCATTGGCAATAGATGGCGTGTATGATCGTGTATGTCAGCCAGATGGGTATCTCGGACGTTCTTAAAACATTTCACGCCCGATTGAATTCGAGTCATGGGAAAAGTATAGAAAAGTGAGCGCTTCCTATGCAGCTCCAGAATCATATCTAACCATTTCCTCTAAGAAGTTTCATGGTTTCGTTTGTCGCTTCTGGACCTCAAATCGGTTTCACGAGCGTTCACGAGTTGGCCCTTTGCGTATCGATGCCCCAGGTTGCAGCTGCTGCAGCATCCCTGGCGCCTGGCAGCACTGGGGCAGCACAAAGTCACCTTCCAGGCCATGGTAACCCAGATGTGATAGCTATGTCAAGTACGTATACCATCGTATACCAGTATAACATGGTATAGTGTTGGATACAGTATATACACACATTACATTACATCATGACAACCCATGACGTCATGACAGAACAAACATGATAAATGAATATGAATGATAAAATGCACAATATTCAGAAATCATCAAAAACGGGCAGTGGAGACGTGCCAATTTATGCAAATTTGTCATTAGAAATGTGTCGTGAGTTCAGCTTCTCCAATTCTCTGCATCGCCGGCAGCCAGGTGTGCGCTGATGTGTTTGCCTCAGCTGTTGCACTCGAGGAAGTTCAGGGCAGTTTTACTCTGGTCATATAGTCCATTTTGGTCCAACCCCGTCCAATATTCAAATCCCATTGAATGGGGCCAAAAACATCAATGAGGATAATGAGGCCTAATAAGGCGAATACTAAACGAGGGTTTGCCGGTGGTATTTAATATTCGGGAGGAGGGATTGGTTCCATTTGGTTCCATTTGGATCCACTTGCATCTCTCCTTTGGCAGCTTCCCACAATTTTCCAGGTCTCATGATTTGTTTGATACGTGTTGATACATAACATGAATTAAAATTATGCAACATGAATCAACATGATACGTATGATACGCAGCAATGTGGTCCCTTTGGCCCCGTCCCTTTGATCACCCTGGTTGTTAGGCACCTCGAAGACGCTGGCACGACGCTGCCATGAAGCTGCGAGAGATGAAGGAGGCAGCGCAAGTGCCGCCTTCGAATTGGATTCGGAGCCAATTATGGGAGATATTAGGAGCCTTGAACACTTTGGTATACTTTGGCGCTCATTTTTTTGGTGCAGAGGAAGGCTAGGGACATAAAAGTACGGACAGCTTTTATGACTTTTATTACATGTCATTTTTCGGACCCTTTACCATAGTTTCTTGATGTTTCTTGCGTAGCAGTGGCTGATTTGGACATGTTCGCGCCAGACCAGACGTTCGAACACCCCGAAATGTTACACCCAAACGTACCCAAACAATTTGCTGCAAGAGGCTTACCTAGTGGTTTTGACTTTTCAGATTCTATTTTGGTTTTGAAAAAATCGCTTGGCCTAAGTGGGAACAAAGGATGACAAGGATGTGCGGGGCGGGTAAAGGTTTGGTCATGTGGTCTGGTCATGTTTGGTCCGACACAGGCAGCCCCAGCCGCAGGCGCCTGTGGGATGGCGCATCTTGGGGGTTTCTCCTGGTTTCAATCGTCATTTTGATCGTTACCCTCTGGTAATTTAACGTAGCTATTGAAAATGGCCATTTATAGTGAGTTTTCCATAGTTTTCCCATTAAAAATGGTGATTTTCCATAGTTATGTTAGTTTACCAGAGGGTATTTTGTTGAAGTCAACTGAAGTCAACTGAAGTCCCTGGACCACCCTGGAGGTGTGGAATCTGCATGGTTTGCTGCACGCCTGTGGCTTCAAGAGCTGCAGAAGGACGGATGGGATCCGTGTTGTGGGCACCAACGAGGCAGAGGAAACAGTTTGTTGGGGCAACTTTTTTTTACTGATGGATTGATAGTGGATATATATATATATATTATTATAATACTACTACTGAATAATAATAGTAATAATAATAATAATATATATATATATAATAATATATATAATTATATATAATTATATATATATATGGAATTATAGTGATTGTTGAATTATGATGAATTATGTTGATATATGTAAATTTATATATAATATGTTGGTATGGATTGATCATTGAGAAATATGAGAACGATCAGCACCTACAGCTTCCAGTTGTCAAAATTTACCCAAGATATCACAAGATATCACATGTCTCATGATCTCAAGGAAGTTTTCACGCCATTTCCAGGCAGAGCTGGATCTGCGGACGGAAAATTAGTGGACCCCAGCTCCATTGCATGACTTTCTCCACATCCACGACGAGCACCATGGGTGCGGTTCACACTATCCCACTACGTAGTGTGCAACGATGTGCTGTGCACGTCTGGAAATACCTGGAACATCCTGGAACTTTGAAGGTGCAGATTTGAAGCGCCACCTTGCAGAAGTGCAAACTTGGATGATTGCCCGCTGTGTTTACAGAATTTGTTTGCTTCTGAACTCCTGCTTTGTTTGCGTGTAGTGGTTTCTTATGTTTCTTGGTGACAAACACAGGGAATCATCCAATGCACGAACATGCACAGATTCAGTTTTGACAAGTTCAAGTTGCCCACGTCCAAAACTGTCCGCCTCATATTCTCAAAGACAGAGACGGTGAAACTTCAAACATTGCCATCACTGCTGTGTATCTCTGACTGTCACTGAGTATGGTAGGTGTATTACCTGTTGGTCACAATCCGCATCAGCCATCTTTAGCCATCTTCAGGCTGCAGTCAGACAACATGAAATGCATACCGTGCATGCCCGAAAGGGTCTGAAAGACTGTGCTATGCCACCTATGCTATGCCACCTATGCGCGGCCTCATCAATTGTCGAGACACAGTGACCTTTGTAAATTTGTAAAGTCTTTGGTTTGATGAGGACTTGACTCATTGACAGACTTTGCACAATTGCCTCCCTAGATCTCCCTGCAAGACTAATCCTCCAATCCTCATCAGATAGTCGATCCATAGTCGATCCATGTCGATCCATGTTGACTAAGCGCGGTAAGCGCGGTAAATCACTGGCTCATGCTTGCACATTGATTCCATTGCTCATCTTCAGGCGGGGTAGCACATTGTTTCCAGACATTTAGACATTTATTTTGCTGATGCTGAGCTGCTGGCTATGGGTGGAAACACCGTAAATTCAAGGTCATCCCACATCGCCCATTGGATTTGGTGAGGATTAAGAGGTAACCATTGACCCATCCCATCCCCATGTGTTGCGCTGTGGATCCCACACTGGCGCTGAAAAAAGCGCTGGTAGGTGCTGCACTGGCACCACACTGCAGCATTTGTACTGCAGGAGGGGCAGTTGTCAAGGGCCTCCCCAGGTGATGACATGATGTGCAGGGGTTTTCACGACCTCAAACAAGTAACATGCCGCATGGCGAAGCTAAAATCATCTAAAATCATAGTCAGCAAAAGCTGAATTCGAGCGAGTTTCATACCACATGGATGCCGCAAAAACAAACATGCAGGTCATGGCTTCGCGATTCAGAAACGGCGAAAGAGACGATCCAGTAGAACAAATCCACCATAGATTGGGGCAGCCACTCTTTCGGCATTTTGGTAATTTTCTCTATCATCATAATTTGTGAGTCATGACTCTGACAATGCTTGAGACAGTGCATGTGATTGGCACCATAGCTTGGACCAAGCAGCTACCAATGACCATGAGGATCATCTTTCACATCATGCAGAAGCCAAGAATCGCTGATTGAAATTGCATCAGGCTATGCAAGTCCATGCAACGAAACAAGATACAGCAGAGTCTGCTGAAAGGATCAGAAAGGCGTCTAAGTCACATCCTGCACTCTCTGATCTGGATTCACTTGTGAATGTCCAGTTCTCCACCATCATCCCCAACAGCCCCACGGTACAACTTCAAGTTGACCTTGGAAGATTTTGACGCTGCTTTCCGACCTTGACCCTGGCCATGGCGTGCCCATGACGGAATCGCATGGCCGAGGCTGAGCTTCATGACTTTGCTTTCCAGAGCCTTGGCGGCTGGAGATCTTGATCCTGGATTGACAACAGGAATCCACTTCAAAGTCACTTTGAACCTTGACATACCTTGACCCTCCATGGCATAGTCCATGGTTTCAAAACGTCTCAAAGGCCCGGCCTTCCGAGGCAACGAAGGCTTTTGACAAAGCGCGGTTTCTGGTTGGGGCGAACCGTGACGCGATGGTGCCAGGCTACTTGGTGCTCGGGCAACAGAGCCCAACTGGGCCCAACTGGGCACTTGAAAAATGGAAGGAATGAAGCCTTGGGGGGTTAACTTGCCAAGAAGCCAGTCCTCATGTCTCACAGCTCTCAAAAGCAAGAATTGTATGACTATTAATTGAACAATTTTGAGACTATTAAGTTAAATTTCGGCCAGATAGTGCCGCTCTTTGTGCTTCGTGTCGGATTTCATCTGCAACTTGAGCCACAACTAGCCAGCTCAGGTTGAAAAAGAATTTTAGCTGCATTTGTGAGTGTTACTGCGTTTTGCAGTGGAGAGTGCTGCTGTTGTGGGATGTTGTGGGTTTCCGCATCGAAAACATCTATGAGAGAACAACATGCAATATTTATATATATATATATATATTATAATTTATAATATATATATATAATAATACATATATATATATATATTGTGTGTGTGACATCACGTGACACCACGTGGCTGTATGGTGACATCATGCCACCATGTGAATTCATGCACTATAGAATTTGCGCAACTTTTTTTTGCAGCGTTTTTCTGTGCTTCTTGGAACCACCGAGGACACGTTGGTCTACTATGCCAGCAAGGAGTCCCAGGTGCCCAAAGGACGAGTCACTCTTTCAGAGTGTACGTTAGGTGCCTTGGCGGCCCTTGGCCTCGTCATCCTTGGGGACGGCCTGGGAACAACCAGAAGATGGTGTTCACTTGTTGGAGGCAAAGAGGTTTGGTCATAGATCTGTTGTCTATTGACATAAATGATCATAAATGGAAATAAATGGAATGCGCAAGCCAATTGTTGTAGTAGGTCCATGTAGTTCCCATGTTCCTTTCCTGAAGACCCTGACAAGAAACTGAGTTTTTCCACGAGGCCAAGATGCTGATGAAGTGGAAATGTGGTCGAAAGTTCAAAGGGTGGAGGGCTCGGTGCAAACTACTGCCGTTCTCAGCAGCACTGTATGCGGCTGTTGGGACATCGCTAGGAAAGCACGGAAAACGGGGAAAACTGTGTCGAAATGTTTGAAATGATGGTGATGTCGAGACAACTGCTTAACACTGCTCTTTAAGGCCACCATGATATCGATGTCCAGGACCAGCAGGACCAGGACGACGCTGCGCACTGTGCTGTTGGTGCGTCCTGGCAAGGGTCCAATTTTCATCAAGACCAGTCCGGATGAGATCGCCTCGCTGGCTGCGCTGATGAAACGACCGGTGGAGATGCCCGCGATGCCCGCGATGCCCGCGTTGCCCGAGTCTCCAACGCGACCCGAATGTCCTCCCAGTGGACACTTTGCTATGAAATTTAATGCATGAAGAATATATAACAAGTCTCATTGAATTTCGATCCGTTTTTACAGTTTTCATTCGGATTCGAGATGCAGTATAATATGATATAATATGCACGGCCTGTAGAGATTCCCACATGTATACATTTATACAGTCAATACATGCATATACATGCCACATATCCACCATCATAATATTCTTCGATCCATTTAGATCCACAATGTCGTGAAATCTCGCGCGAGGACACAGCAATTTCTTTCCCATCCAGGAGCCAACGGAGTCGGAGTCCCGTCGCGCCGCCTTGGCTCGGATTACTTCCAGAGGCTCCGAATGGTCGGCACAGGTGGCGGAAGAGATGGCGTTGGATCAATCACCAGGACCTATATCACCTGACAGCAGTTCCACAAGACAGTCGCAAGCGCCTGTTTTCCAAGAAGTGCGAGAAAGCTTGGGAGCCAAGTTGGCTTATCAAAAATCCATGGATCTGATGTGGAATTACGATCTCCAGGCTGCTGCTGTTCTTCTGGAACCCTGGCAAAATTCCAGCTTGTGGCATGCAGGTGCTGCTGCTGAGTGCTTTGTTTTGAGGACCATTTTGACTGGCAGAAAAAGTGATGCTCTTGCATCGTTGGATCTCATCGTAGTAGCTGAAAAGCTGAAAGACGATATTTCCTCAAGCAGTCTGACATTGGCTCATGAAATCGTCACAGCAGAGTTGCAGCTGATGCGCAGCTTGCTACAGATCATCTTGGGCTTGCGATTTCGAGCTCTATACAACTTGAGGCAATGTTGGTATGCTTACTATCGCTTAGAGCAATTTCTGGAGGATGAAGTGAGTCTCAAAAGATGTGCCCAGAATGTTGATTGTGTCATGACTTACGAAGATTTGAGGGGAAGGATCCTTTTTGGCCTTGGCTTTTTCTACATGGCCTCCTCGCTGGTCCCTGCAAGTCTCGTACCTTTGCTTCGGCTCGCGGGTTTTTTGATGCACCGGCAACGTGGGAAGATGTACCTGTTCGAATGTGTTGAGAGAGCACTTGGGGCGCGATGCTCCATAGCTGCCATACTACTTGCCATGTACCACCTGGATTTGGAACCAGAAGCTTGGCATGGCCTGGCTCAGTTGACGCAAAAACTGATTAATTATTGTGATTCCAATACAGTATCTGTACGTATTATGTACGTGTTATATACCATATGAGACACCATACAGTATCATTTATCATAGATATGTATATTAAAAAAATAATAAATGTATATATAAATATATAAATATAAATAAGTAAAACAAATTCATAGATAAAAAGGTCAAGAAATTAATAGATAAATATTATATTATAAATAACTATATAAATAAATATATAAATAAATATATAAATATATAAATCACACACACACATATATATATATATAATGTGAGTTAGGTTTGTTTACATATGTGTGCCACAATGCTTGGATGTCTTATAGAATGCGAGGTTTGGCAGCAGATTGCAGGGTGGGACCTGTCCAGGTTGCAACGTTTCCTGGTGCGTTGATGACCCTTACGTTTGGCTCAAGAGCAATGCATTTCTCAGTTCTCTTATCGTGGTAGGTCTGCCCAAATGGGAGGATACTCAGAGCCCAGCGAGGTCACAGACAGTCTTCTCTCAGTGTCCTACATCGGCCGGGTGAAAAGTTACAACATCTCCCGTGGATTCGGCTTCTTGGAATGCCCGGATGTTCATGCACAGCACGGCCGGGATGTTTTCGTGCGCGCAGATGCTGTGGAAGAAGTGACCCTGAGCAAAATCGCCAGTGGTTCAGGGCCAGATGCTGCTGTCAACAGAGGGGAGATGTTTGTCCGTTTCACCTTAGAGATGAACCAGGCAGGCAATCCAGAAGCCCACAGTGTCCAGCAGGTCAAGGATTCCGAGGTCCCTGAAGAACTCCGTCAACAACTACCAACCCCAGCCAAGCCAGTGAAGGTCGTGAAGCCTGAAGCTACGGCAAAAGAGTTGAAAGCATCAAAGGAATCGAAAGAAGAGAAAGATGCGAAAGAAGGCAAGGATAAGAAAAGTTCCAAGAAGAAAGGCAAAGTTGAAGGATTGCGTGTTGGGGACTGCCGAGTTCATATTGGCCAGGATGCAGAAGACAATTGGAACATTTTGTCAGCGGCCAAGGGGAAATACTGGTTTTTCCATCTCACTGACTTCCCCAGTTGCTATGTTATCCTGGAGTGTAATGAGCCCACGCATGAGGAGAAACTGCAATGCGCACAACTCTGCCGTGATCACACCAAGCACAAATTGTCTGGACAAGTCAAGGTGGATGCGACACAGTGCAACAACGTGAAATTTGACCGAAAACGAGATGTCGTCGGCGAATGTGATTACAAGGATGAAGGGAAGGTTGAGCTCCTTGTAGTTTGAACATGTTTGAACTCCGCTTGTCGAAACATGAGCTTTTTGTGAACAGATTGAATATTAAATAGGTAGTTGGTCATGTTGGTCGCCGTGTGCATGATGCCAACGAAGGGCTTTTGCAGGACAGCCTGAAACAGACATTGCGAGTGCTGCTCAAAAAAGGCAAGCCAAGCTTATTGTACCAGGAAGTGTCATTCTCACAAGCTCATCCAAACAATTCGATTTTTTTGGCTCATGCTTGGGCAATATTCGATGTCGTGGCAATATTTATTGGCCCTTATTGGCCCTTCTGTGGAAAGATCCCTGGAACCGGAACCAGATTGATCTATGACATGATCTAAGGACATGAAGCATGCTGGCAACATTTTGATCGCCAGCTTGGGGCGCCAACCCGAAAACACCCTGCTGCATTGGGCAGGCGAGATTCTCCAGTCAACCTTAATCCGTCAGTTGGGCTTTGAGTCAATTGAGGTCTGAGGTGCTCGATTTGTTCTTTCAAGATGTTTGTTGAAATGTTGATTTGATTTGATTTTTTTTAAAATGTATATATTATATATATATGTATATGTATATGTATATCTCTATCTCTATCTCTATCTATCTATCTATCTATCTATCTATCCATCCATCCATCTATCTATCTATCTATCTATCTATCTATCTATCTATCTATACATCTATACATCTATACATCTATATCCATCTATCTATATCTATACATCTATCTATACATCTATCTATACATCTATCTATACATCTATCTATACATCTATCTATACATCTATCTATACATCTATCTATACATCTATCTATACATCTATCTATATCTATCTATATCTATCTATCATCTATCTATATCTATCTATCTATACATCTATCTATCTATACTATCTATCTATATCTATCTATCTATATCTATCTATCTATATCTATCTATCTATACATCTATCTATATCATCTATCTATACATCTATCTATCTATCTATCTATCTATCTATCTATCTATCTATCTATCTATCTATCTATCTATCTATCTATATCTATCTATCTATCTATCTATCATCTATCTATCTATCTATCTATCTATCTATACATTTATCCACATCATGCCAGACCGTCCAGACCTGCCTGGCTGCAGAGTCTTGAAGGTTCATGCGATTTCATGAGGGTCGGTGCTAAACGGTCCTGAGAGTGCTGATATGTGCTGATGGTTGTGGGATCGCGGGATGTTCCTGGCAGGCTCAATTCTTGCATGGAGAAACACCTTCATGTCCCAGGCACAGGGTGAGACAGGGTGTCATGGCCATTGAGCCGGCCGTTGAGCCAACGTCCATGCCAGTGCAGCTTATCATAAACAAACGCCTAACCGCCACACTCAGTTTTTTTGAGATTTCGATCATTTTGTTTTCCTTGCCAACTCATAGAGTAATAAGTGTCAGCATGTGTCTGCATGTGTCAGCCCTCTGGAACACCATGACTCGAAGGAGTCCTTGAGAAGGGCCTTTGGCATAGCCCGGTTGGTTGTTCTGAAGTGTATCACAGATGATATTTCCACGTGCCGAGATGTTTGCACACTCAACAAGGTCCAGCCATTACAGCATTGCATGTATTCCACTGGCTTGAAGCGGTTGCACTGTTAGAGAGGAACATTTGTCTGGTACTGGGTAAGTGAGCAACGAAGTTGGTATGGTCCATGAAATCAGTGAGAAATAGGTATACGGTATACCATGGTCTACCTATCAGTTCACTGCGCATTGTATGAAATCTGTGAGAAGTAGCTATGGCCCCTGGTCAAACATGTGGACCCACCAGCCCACAAATAATACACATATTGATTCTTTTTGATCACCCATACCATCCCGATACCCATACCCGAAACCAATGTGATGGATTCGGCATGAATTCAGCCATGGAGGCTGTGTCTATTACGGGCAAGGCCCTTTGGTGCTGTGGAGAGGTGCCGAAGAACATTGCATTCCTCCAGAGACACGGAAATCATCTGCAATATTGTCACAAGAACTATTGTCATGCCAATTTCCTCCATTCTTTCCTTCCTTTGAAAGATCATGAAAGATCCCAGGCCATGAACTTTCCCACATTTGTTCATTGGTTCACTTCATGCAGCTTTGCCAAGTAATTAAATTAAGTTGGTGTTGGGATTCAATGTTCAGCCAGGAACTGGGCGAGAAAGCAGTCTACCTGAGAATCTTGGAAGTCCATTGGAAGTCATGTGGAAGTCCTATGGCCCACATCCTTTTCTCTGTGAGTTAGAGCCGTTCGCGCGGAATCGCGGAATGGATTGCATCCTCTCATCACAGGGGGCTCCCTGATATGAAACCTGAGATCTCCGCCGAACCTTCCAATCTTTTCACTTACATTGGACATTGGACTTGCATCTGTAGATCTATGTATCCTTAATCATCTTTATATCATTCTTTATCCCGTTCGAGATGCCCAAGTCACAAGTCCAAGGATACGAGTTGGGCATGTTTCATTTCATCGCTATGGACTGGCCCAAAGCTCATGAGCATTTGAACTGCGTCTATGTCTCCGTGAACTCTGACAAGGACCACTGCTAGCAGTGACACAGTGATCCACCAGTGCTAGAGTCTGCTGGAGTGTTTTGTTGGCACTCGCCTCACTCCACCTGTGCAACTGAATTTACCAGTGGATACCAGTGGTAAATCATATGATATCATATGTAAATCATTTAACTTGTTGTTTGCATTTGTTCGCAGGTGTTCTTTCCGTACCGGACGCTGGTAACCACGCAGTCTCTTGGGCATCGGGGCATCGGGTGTTGGGGCATTGGATGCAGACAGAATCGGCGTTCATGGCCTGGCGGCCTAAGGTTGGCTGCGGTGGCTTTTAGCATGGGAGAGCAAGAGTATGGTGAAACCCTTTGCAAGGAGAGACTTCCAAAATCTTCATGAGACATATGAGACTTCAAGATATTTCACGATTCAACTTGACTCTTTTTTTGACTCCATTTGGACCTGTAGTTGCCATAGTTTCAGCATGTTTCAGCCCACCTTGACTTGGCAGGATGTCTCAGGATCATTTAGGATCCCTTGGTTCCCTTCCAATTCCTTTGCATCCATTTGGGTATCCATTTGGGTATCCATTTGGGTATCCATTTGGGTATCCATTTGGGTATCCATTTGGGTATCCATTTGGGTATCCATTTGCAGCATGGTCTTAGTTCAAACTTCGTTCTGCCAGGAGTGTGCTTCGGTTCAAGACTGGAGCGGCTTGTTGAAGTTGGAGACTGACTTTGCCGCTTGACCTGGCACTGGGATGCGTTTGTCGCCAAAGAAAAAGGATGATCAAGGATGTAAACGATCCGAGATTCCATTTCTTGGCATGATAAGGAATATCATATAATATCATGTGATCTTCAATATCTATCAATATCTAGATATTCCTTGAAGCGAAAACAGGGCTAGATCAGCTCATGAGTCGTACTCCCAAGGAACTTGGAGCATTCTCGATTTCACAATAGGATTGAACCGCATGGGGCCAGGCAAAGATTTTGCAGATCTTCCTTCGTCGCCGACGTCAAGGGCCACTTGAGCCAAGAAATTGGAGAGCGGAGGGGAATTCAAGATGTTCCAAAGCGGTTCAAAAGCGGTTAAAGAGTGTGCAGCTGAATGCAGTTTTCCATAGTTTTCCATCGCGTTATTGTAAAATACTCTACATTCTACATCATTCTGCATCCTAGATCAGTGTGCAAGAACTCATTCGTTCCAGATCTTTCCAAGAATGGATTGCCACAATTTTGCCAAACAATATCAATTCCGCCCATCTACGAGACCTGTCCCAGTGACGGCATTTGTCAGGCGTCGTATGCTGGCCTTCGAGGTGATGTACTTCTTCCGGCAGTTCCCAAAGGCGAAATCTGGCGATGGCATTGAAAGGTTTGCATCATTCGAATCATTCGATTGTGCAGGTACCCAGCCACATGCTCCTTGCAATCAAGGACAATGTCAGGGGCCCCCAGGGGCCATGGATATGCCATAGTAGCCATAGCCCCGAGCATCCTTGAGCATATCCTTGAGCATATCCTTGAGTCCTTGAGCATCCTCAGCTACACATAGCTGCGCATAGCTGCGCTGTTTGTCCGGACATGGGCCCAGGGCAAGAGAGGCGTCGCATCGGGTCGAACATGGTCAAAGTGTTTTGGTCACGCCCAGGTCCAAAAGACCACGGATCCTTTGCGAGAATGTGAAGATTGTGAGCTCCTCAGCATTCCGAATTCTCTACATGTGCCATGGTGTCCATGCCTTTGACGTACCATCAATTGAGAACTGCCCTTTGCATCCCTTTGCACAAAATGCTAGCTAGCCAGAGGAAAATAGAGAGAGAGAGACACCTCGCGAGGCAACCTGAAAATCATGGATGGTATCATCTGGTATCAATCCCATCGCGGACAAATGTTACAGTTGCAGATGTTTTTCCAGGGATCACAGCTAGTCATGGCACGGCTGTATAGGTGACCATGACTCCATGGAGGAGAACTCCATGGTGGAGCTGGCCAGCGCTTTGACGATACAAGTTGTAGCTTGGCCATGCTCGCCAGGCAACCCCGCTCTGCAGTGATATTTCTTGAGACTTCTTGATGATTCTTGATAATTGAAGATTCTAGATACATAAACACATATATAGATTATATAAATAAATGCTATGATTAGAATAAATATATATAATATATTACAATAAATATTTGTATACTGGATCATTGCCACCTGATGAGGTCGTTTGCTTCTACCTTGGTGATGCAGAGGCTGCAGCTCGGATAGCAAGTCCAACCAGGACTTGAACTCTTGAAGCTCAGGGGGACGTCATTGTAGCGTATTGTGAGTCATTTTTTTCAGTTTGTAATATTGTACTTGATATATCTTGATATAACATGGTCTATTATTGTAAAGTTGATTGAACACATCTTTCGTAAGGCTCGTTCTACTTGAATCTGGCTCCTACTAGTGCGGAATTTGGACAGCATTCCAACACATTCAAGAGTGCGATTTGTTCGTGTAGAGCTATTTTGAATGTTAGCGTTTCCGTGCATTTGCCACCAAAGAATGTTACGAGATGCTGCCAATTTCGTGAGCAGCACATGGCTGTAGTAGAATCATTAACTTCATCAATTAGATCAACTTCCAGTACCGATTTGAGATGTTTAATATTGTTTAATGAATTTTAATAGTATTTAATAGCTGTTTCATGTATGCAACATGGTGAACTCATGTCATGCACAATGTGAGCTCCGAGTTGAAAGTCCTTAGGCCTTGATCTTCGTACCAGAGCTGTCACAACTTTGCCCTCGCTTGCCGTCCTGGGCCATGCCACTTGGCTGTGCACTGGTCGTCTCAAGATCCCTATAGAAGGCATAGAGGAATATAGAGGAAATCTATGGATCTATGACATCTATGAACTCAGTTTTCTGCGATTTCAATGTGTTGCCACTGTGTTGCTACCGCAACTCATGTGCGCAGGTACCTCTCTGCGCATGGCCTTTATTGGTGTGGTCGGGTGTTTGCCCTCAACGACCGAGACGAAGATGCGCCACTTGTTTTCCGCTAGCTATCCAGTGGCTGGGGGGGAGCGGTTCGGAGCTATGGGTACTCAATGGTATCCATATGATTCATTATTGTTCCAGATTCCATCACATTCCCTATTAAAAATGGGCATCTATTAGCCATGGGGAGCCAGTTGGAGCTACGAATAGAGTTTCCCAGCCACATATAATGTGTGCTCACATGAGACTTTCAGAGCACCTTGAGGCGTTTCTGCTTACAGCTGGCGCGTTCCTACAAGAAGTGACATCGCCGATGCTTTGGGAAACTCTTGGGGGGCCATGGTCAGGGGATCGGAACACATTACTGATCATTACTGTATGTACGGACATGTATGTTGAGTATCGTAATATATCGTAATCATATTATATTTAATATTATATATTATAGTTATTTGTTATTCTTCATTGACGGTATCATTATTGATGTGCTATATTCAAAATTGCCACATATTGATACATATTGAACGATAGAATAAGGGATTCTGAAATCTCACGTGGTTTCGAGCAGTGTTGCTGCCGCCAAACTTATGTCATTACGTGGCCCTTTACACATCTTTGCACCAGGTATCCCTTCAATATCAACGTGAAGATTTGCAAGGCTGGGCTGGACATGCAGCCTCCTTGAATACATGTTGGATCATTTTGGGTGCTTTCACGTGCCTTCTGCCAAAGAGGGCATGAGAGACTAAGTTCCATCAATATTGAGAGTTTCCTTCCAATTCGGCTTCTGATTTTTTGATTTTTGCTGGGGGGTTATAAGTTATATTACTTGCATGGGCTCACAGACACAGGTCTGTTGGAAAGTTCTGAGGGTCAGTTGGGGGATGTTGGGAGGGATGTGAATGACTGCCAATGGTGCATTGTATGGTATTCCGAGCCTCGATATGCGAATATGCCTCGAGGTACTGGCGCAACATGAAGAGCAGATGGCACAGAAGTCACAGGCAGCTTGAAGATCTCCGGCACCGGCGATGGGTGTGCTGAAGGATGGAGACAACAAGGAATATGTCTAGGTCATGGATCCATTCATGACCTACCGTAGATTCGCCGTAGATAGCACTGCTGAGCAATGCAGGCGATTGGGACTCGAGTTTGGTCGTGGTGATAATTTGGTTGTCCTGGTGACAGGGATATTGGCCGGTGTCGTTCATCATTGATCATTTCATAGCTGTAGTGCTGAGCAGTGTTCAAAAAATTGGCATGCCACCAAGTGCAAGCCAAGCATTGGAACAGAACATTGTGATGTCTGCGATGCTAGACGTTTCTTAGGCTAGGGCACCCCGCACCAGATGTTGGCAAGTGGAAGAGCCGCAGCAGAGAACTGCATAGTGCATCATAGTCATAATGCTGTAAAAGCACCTCACATAAAACACACATGTATACTAGCATGTTACCACAGCTGTTGCGGCTCAGTAAAAAGCGCTGCTGCCGCAGGTGCTTAACGGTTATATTGTTTTGCCCCATAGGTTTATCAGTCTATTTGGGATTATAAGATAACCCCAGCTGAAACCTGAAAATACAGGTTATCAGCCGTAGTCTCTAAAGCCATGGACAAGACTCATGATGAAACAGGTGGCGGTGCCCTCGTACCCTCTACTGGAACTGTAGCTGCATCAACTGGTTCTCAGCAGAGCTTGCCGGCTGGGACAAACCCCACGCCCATGTCAGTGGATGAAGGTTTCTTCACACAGCCCGTGCAAGCCTATTTCCAGTTCGTGCAAAACAATCTTACCTACATCAACGAAGGTAACATTGATGCTTTCAGGCAAGAGGCAGAGGAGAGGCACACACATCTCATGGAACAAAAGGTCCAGCAACTGTACCAAGAGTTTGAGGGAATTTGCCTTAGCGAAACCGCCCATCAACGTGCAGAAGCTGATCGCAGACATGAACACCTAGTGTCAGAGTATTCAATGTCCCAAACGGCAACTGAGCATGAGGTAGCAAAACTGAGACAGGAACTTAGCGATGCAAACGCAAAGCTGAAGAATGCTGCAAATGCAGTTGCACTGGAAGCTGAACAAAGAGCCAACCAAAAGGTAGCCCACGTTACAGCCCAGTATGAACAAAGGTTTTCTGAACTCAGAGGTAGCCTCGAGGCAGACTGTAAACGAATCGTGGACGAAACAGTGGAGTATGCAAAGAATGGCATGGAAGGTTTTAAGAAGGAGGAACAAGCTGTAATCCAGGAGATTAGAGAGGAATGCAGTAGGCAGGAAAACCAAGCTGCTGAACTCAACTTCCAATTGCAGGGACAAGTGGAGGATTTGATGGAGAAGCTCAACAAGTACAGCGCCCCGGAAATCAATGTCGACAGAGCCGTCGAAGTTGATGATTCACAAGGCGGGAACAATGTCGATTTGTACATGACCCCAAAATCAGCGGTCGGTACCAAGGCTGGAGCAGAACCCATGCCAAACACTGGTATGAGTAGCTTAGCCATGGACGCCAAGGAAAGGTTGAGCAACTTGTTCTCAACAACCCCTGCCGGATCAGCAGCCCCTCCAAAACTGCCACCATTGCCAGTTCAAAGACAAAATGATGATGATGCAAACCAAGAACATAGTGTGCCCAGTCCTACAGTAATAGCAAGCGACCCTGGCAAGAAAGCAGCTGAAGCAGGCTTAGGTCTTTCAGGTCAACAATTGCTAGATCTCATCACTAGACTGACTTCAAAGGATTCAGATGGTGAAAAGCCCCGAACAAAAGAGGCAGAGACTATCAAACTGAACGACATGCCTGCCCCAGAAGCGTATCGTCACTGGCGTAATCATGTCAGGGATGAAGTGAAGTCGTGCTCCGACAAACCCGATGAGGCTTGGCTTTGGCTCAATGAAGTCTTTGACAACAAAACCCCTAGGGAAAAGTTGGAGGAAAAGCTGCAGGAACCTGGGAAATTTATCACACTTGACACCAAATTGTCGGCAGCGTTAACTCGCTCGGCCAAAGGTGATTTAGCAACAAAGATCCATAACTTCAAAGATGAGAAGTCAAAGAAAGGGATCCAAGTCAGAGGTAGGAGAGTCCTTTTGATGTTTGAAGATTACTTCAGGACGTCTGAGGAAGCTGGCAGTCTCTACCGCGTCGAGGACCTACTTGGAGTCGTTCGCACTGGAGAATCTGTGGAGGACCTTAGAAGGTTTCTGAACCGATGGGACGCCACAATTGCCGGCATGGAAACCCCGCCAGATGATTTGGTTCTCAGAGACATCTTACTCAGACAAATCCGAAAATGTCAATTGATGAAGTATGACATCGAAGCATTCGACAGAGCTCCTGAAAAGTCAGAACAAAAGTCTTATGCATTCTTGTTGAGGAACATTCGTGATCTTTTGGATAGAGAAAGACTCCGTTCAAACAGAAACAGAATCGTTGAAAAGAACAAGCAGACCGAAAAGCCTCAGCCCGCTGCACCCGCTCAGGGGGGCAAAGATCGCGGCAAAGGAAAGGGTGATCGAGGTCGATCCCGTGGTCGTAGCCAGAGTGGAAAAGGGGATAAGATATGTTACAAGTTCAGGGATGGCAAGTGCGAAAAGGGTAAAGACTGTCCCTACAAGCATGTCAAGGATTCCTCAAGATCTGGCACTCCCAAAAAGAAGGGTAAGGGCAAAGGTGGTAGCAGAAGTGGTTCCCCCAACAGAAAGTCGAAGGAAGAGATGGCCAAGATCCCATGCACTTACTTTCAACAGGGCAAATGTCGTCGTGGTGACAAGTGTTTTTACAAACATGAAGTTGCAGCTGCACCCACAAAGGATCCAAAACGCACCAATAGCCCTGCACCAAAGAAGAAGGCCAGTGCAAAAGCTGCGCCATGCATTACTCAAAGGTATGCATGCATAGCAAAGGGAAAAGGGTTGCCGAAAGCTACAAAGGCCATGAAAGAACAATGCCATAGAGCCATTGTGTTTTCATCAAAAGTGGAATACATCAAAGTCCCAGCAACAGGTGAACAGAGGAAGGTAGTGCACAAACCCCGAATCTATGAGAAGACGTTCCCTGATTCAGAGTCAGTGCCAAAACCCGACAAACTCATGGCTCACCGTGCTCAGGTTTCGGCCCGACAGTTGCAGGAACTTGTGAAGCTCTTCGGCAGTGAGACGCAGCCCAAATGCCGATTCCGATGCAATGACCCAGAAGGGGGAGTATCATGCAACCACTGTAGAGCAATGATTGGTCCCAAGAACAAAGTCAGTAACACTCATCTGCCCACTGTTGCTACACCGGCATCAAAAGATGGATGTGTTTAGTTGGTTGACACGGGCAGTGAACAGGATTTGATTAGTGAGGGTATGCTGAAGACTGCAAAGGCGACAAACCGCCGTGTCAGCGATACCCCAATCAGCCTTGCTACAGCGAACGGTTCGACACGAGCGGATGAGGTGGCTGACGTAAAGGTCGATGCCCTACATCAGCCATTTTCACCATACATTCTCGAAGAAACTCCTGCTGTTCTTTCGGTTGGTGTCAGGTGTATGGAACAGGGTTACAGTTTTGTGTGGCCAGCTGATGGAAGGCCTTACTTCATTCGTCCGGACATGGGAGTCATCGAGCTTAATGTAGACGGCCGGGTGCCGGTTATTGATAGCTCTTGTCGTGTTTTGAACAGTGGACAGTTCAAGAAAGATTGTGATCTGTTACGTCTTTTTGCAATGGTTGCTGCAAAAGCAGAAGGTGCCGATGAAGAAGGCGTGGATGAGGGAGTAGCTCATGATAGCGAAACCGAGTACGTCAGGTCTAGAAAGGCATCTGACCTTGAGCAAGAGGCATGCAGCAAATCTCACCAGTTTTGCCATTACCCCAAGAATCCATTTTGCAAAATCTGTCAGAAGGCGCGCATGATGGCACCACCCGCAAAGAAGAAAGGGGACAGAAAAGGTTGGAAACCAAAAGCTTTGGGGATCACATTGTCGCTGACCATACTGTAATCAAATCCAATGTGGAAGAAGGCGTCAAAGGTGAAACAGTGGCATTGGTGATGAAGGACATTCACACTCAGTTCAGGCACGTCTATCCAAGTCAGACAAAATCGAGTGAGTCATGTGTTAATGCTTTCAACCACTTCTTATCTCACAAGGATGAAGTTGGGGCAGTTTACACTGACAATTCACGAGAACTTATTGCTACGATTTCAGAGTTGGGGTACAGACATCAAACATCAACAGAGTACGTGGACAGTTCAAAGTCGTTTGTGGAGAGGGAGATCAGGCACATGCTTGAAGGCACACGCACAAACCTCGTGCAGTCAGGTCTTCCATTGCAGTATTGGCCAATGGCTATGCAGCATTTCTCCATGGCAGTGAATGCCACGCCACAGCTCAACGGTGATGATGCCCCATGGAAACTCAGATTCGAAGAAGATTTTCCAGGTCAGTTGATTCCTTTCGGTGCAAAGATACTGTTTTGGAACAATCCAAAAAGGGTTGACAACACATCTGGAAAGACATCACCAACAGCAAATGATGGAATCTTTTTGGGATACCATATTCAACCTGGTTTTGCATGGAAAGGTGAGTATCTTGTTGCCAAGTTAGAAGCATTGGATTACCATGCAGAAACGGGCAGCATCACAGTGCAGCGAGCACGACGTGTTGAGCTCATCGCGGGAGGTTTTGTCTTCCCACTCCGTGCATTGAAAGAGGCCAAAGAGCCCAAGCCGGACCGCCTTGCTGACAATGTCATTGCTGATCCTCGTCCGATTCCGTTTCAATCCGAACTGCAAACAGAGGAACATGCAGAAGCAAGTGAAGAAGCAATTGACAAGTCAACGGAGGCAGTGCTTGACGCACTTGCCAGTGATGAAAGGCCGGCTGAGGAACCAGTTTTTCCTGATATCAAGTACACTCCAACTGGAACACCAATCCCGGATGGTTATCATTGGGACGGCACACGCCTTGTGAAAACGTACAAAGGGTCAAAACGCCCTGAGTCGATCCCATCGGATTTTTGGAAAATGCTTAGTCCGAAGGATAGGCAAAAGCTCGTTGAGGAGGAGGCTGAAAAGATGGCTGTTGGCAGCGGCGGTGCTGCATCAAGCTCAGCATCAAAGGGTCCGAAGAAGAAGAAAGGTGCGGTTGCGACTGCAAGAAAGCTTCGGGTAAACCCTAGCCCCTCAGGTGAGCCTAGTGTGTCAAGATGGGAGGTCATTCCAAAGGATAGACCGAAGTTTTGTGTCCCTGCTATGCCGAAAGCGGTTCCAGCAAAAGCTGAACTGCATCGCCCGGAATTGAGAGAGATGATCAAGAATAAGATCGCAGAGTTGGAATTCAAAGTGGCTAAACCCCAAAGCAAAAGCTGCCTTAGATAAGGAGTGGGAGAACCTCAGGACAAAAGGAGTATGGGACGAATCCAGGGTCAAGGAACGTAAAAGCATTGTTGAAGAAGCCCGCAAGAAAGGGGAAACTGTACATCTTGGTCGTATTTTTGAAGCCTGCTACGAAAAGGGTTCGGAACTTCCAGCTGATGATCCTCGTAGGAAATTCAAGGGCCGTACAGTTTTCCAGGGTAACAATGTCCGCGACCAGGATTCTGACCACGCGTTGTTTGCCGAGTTAGGTAGCAAGTCCTGCTTCGATGGAAGCTGCAAAGCTTCTTGACGCGTTTGGTTCTCAGCCTGGATTTTCAAAAGCTCAGGCAGACGCCATCCAAGCTTACATCCAGGCCCTCTTCACTGGGGTGCCCACATGGCTATCATTGCCACGGAACAGATGGCCAGAACACTGGGAAAAGCAATTTTGGCAACCCATGGTTCCATTGGTATTAGCTTTGTACGGGCATCCAGACAGTGGTGGTATTTGGGAAAACCATCTCAACAGCAGAATCGGAAAAGAAGGTTGGAAACAAATTCTCCCTGATGTATGGCAAAGTATTTTCTATCATGCCGAGTACAATTGCATGTTGGTTGTTTACGTGGATGATTTCAAACTCGCAGGTCCCACTGAGAACATGGACAAAGCATGGGCAAGTATCAAACGAGCAGTCAACATTGGTGACCCCGAACCCTATGATCGATATTTCGGTTGTCAACATGTGGAGTTTAACAACGTTACACTACCACGAAAAGCTCATCCTTTTGCACATGTTTTCGATTCTCAAGCGGCTGCTGCGGCACGTACACAACACCGAACAAATGATTTTTGGCAACATGACCCCTTCAACAAAACTTGGACAAGGTATCATCTCCAGCCACGGAAGAAGTTGTTCGCGCCTGGCGATGAGGGGGGGGAGTTTGTCAAGTCTTTACATTCAGAACGGGTTACAATGTTCGACAAAAATGTTGAATTTAAAGGTCTTCCAGTTCTCAACATGCATATGTCAGACGAAAGTTCAGCTATCGTTGAAGATGACATGACAGTGGATCAAAAGATTCAGACAAAGGACTTCTGGACAGGAAGAACAATCTTCAGGTATGGTGACGAGTATGGCAACACTAATCAGTTTGCCCTCCCATCAAAGAACAGACCCGGTCCGCACAGAGACAAAAGGGAAGCCAAGAATGAGAAGAAATCTCAACGGTTCAAAAGCATTGAGAGTGTCGTTACAAACAAGTCCGGTTGCATGAACAAACCTGTAAACCTGGTAAGGTACGACATGTCTTCTTTCATGGAATCATGTGTAGATGCATACTGCGAACTGGCAAAGGTTCAGAAAGATGACTTGCCAGTAGTTGCAACGCCGTTCACAGAAGCGGGAATAGCCCGGCCAACTCTCGATGAGAAGGAGAAGCCAGGGAGGTTGCAGCCGATTGCATCGAAGGTCCTGATGAAGATTCTCTTTGCGGCCCGTATGGCACGCCCAGATCTCTTAAGAGCTACTCAAAGCTTGGCATCTAGGGTGACGAAATGGTCCATTGAGTGCGACATTGCATTGCACAGATTGGTATCATACATCAAGTCAACCACAGATGTTTTTATGGAGGGTTTTGTGAGAGACTCGTTTGAGGATTGTCAACTGTGGCTATTTGCTGACGCTGATCATGCGGGGGAACATGATTCAAAATCAACTTCAGGTTGTGCAATGTTTCTTGTGGGGCCAAACACCTATTTCCCATTAAACGCATTCAGCAAGAAGCAGACAGTTGTAGCAAACTCGTCCACGGAAGCCGAAGTCGTGTCAGCAAATCACGCACTCAGAGCAGAAGGGATTCCGATGTTAGCGTTGTTGGAGCAATTGGGCATTTTCAAGAAATTGTCGCAGAAGGCTGGGTCAAACCCCAAGCCAAACATCCCTGAACAAAATGATCCTGTTTTTACTCGTATCGACAAAGAGATCGATGAAATCAGGTATGGCAATGTTGAGGGGGGCCTTTCTGCGGCAAATATCAATGGTTTGAAGGCCCATTTTCCGGAGTTCTATCAAGTGAAGTTCATGGAAGATAATCAGGCTTCTATAACTGTGATGGGCACCGGTAATTCCTCCACCATGCGGTACGCCAACAAAACTCAGAACATCTGTTTTAAATGGATGAAACAGCAGTTTGAGGAGGAACAATTTGACCTCATTAATGTTGGCACCAATTGGCAGACAGCTGACATCCTTACAAAACCTTTTACTTCCCCAACTAAATGGGAACATGCTTTGAGGTTGATGGCCATTGGAAAGACTTGGATCGACGCCGACAAGCCCAAGGTGCGCCAAGTAGACTCCAAGCCTGCGTGTCCAGCTAATGCCAATGATCAGGGGGGACGTGATGGTTCAAATTCTTTCCAAAGGATGTTGATTGAGTTTTGCTGTTCATCTGATTCGAAGCTATGCACTCCACGGCAAGCCAGTAAAGGGTGTAGACTGATCCGAGTAACTGAAAACGAGGATGGCACCACCCAAGGCTGCCGTAAATGGCTAGCCCAAGAAGTCCAGTCTTTCAGGGAGAGTAATCCAGAGGGTGAGATTTTGCTTTACGCTTCCTTGCCATGTGTGGGCGGCAGTCCATGGGGTTACATCAACAGTTTGACTGACAAAGGGGCTGAACGAATCGAACAGCAACAAAAGGAATTTACAAAACTTTTCAAATCACTTCAAAAGATTATCAGTGAAATCGATGGGCCACATTTTTCAATTGCATTTGAACTCTCAAAGAACTGCAAGTATTGGAAATGGCCAATGGTCCAATCGTTTTTGAAGAGACAAGAGTTGAAATTGTATCCATTCCACGGTTGCCAGTTTGGGGTTATTGACTTGGACGGGAATCCCATGAAAAAGGGTTGGATGATTGCAACAAACATGGAAGAGTTGTCAAGTCTTTCGGAATACGTTTGTGATGGTTCCCACACTCATGGTCAAAGCCGGGGTACTGCATTGAAGCTTGCAGAGAACTACACATTCAAGTTGACTGACTTCATCCATGATTGTTTTCGTTCCAGAGCTAACCAGGCACAAACCGCCAAGAACAGGAAAAGGTTAGCTTTGCCCGCCATGAGCCGCCGTTCTGATGATTCAAATTTGTCGATCACTGACAAGATGAACGTGCGGGCTCTCAAGTCGGCCGGTTTAAAGACCGTGCCCCAACAGAGCAACATGTCGGAGTGGCTTGCTTTTCGGAAGTGCCTTGATGTTCAGGGGGATAGGCACGCAGGGTGGGAGGACATCTTTTCTACGGTCCTCGCTTCGTCAACCATCCTGGCACAGGGCAACAGGACAGAAGACCTTGAGTTGGCCGCAGGATTCATGCAATGCTTCACTGCGCAGTCAATGGCAACTGACGCCCTGACGAACGTGCCGTGGGCAAAGGAGATCCGCCATCTGTCCGAGCTCGAACATGACTCGCTGTGGGATCTGAGCTTGCCTACTGAGTACGTCCCTGGGACATCAAGGCCGGCGGTAGACGTCGTGCCCACCATCTATGTGGTGACTTCCGATTCAACTTTGGCTCTGATCACTGGAAAGGGTAAGACTTTGAAGAAGTACACCTTGAAGGAGGATCTGGGATTGCGAAAGTCGGACATGGTTCTCGAAATCGGTCATGACATCCTCTGGGGTAAGGATTTGCAACAGCTCTGCAAAGCAAATGTTTCCATGATCAAGGAGCTGATGGCGAAATATTCTTCTCATGGATCAGCCATCAGGGTTATTTCGGTAATCTTTTGGTCTGGGAATGAAATTTGCGGGGAATATGGTGTTGAACCCCTTCCCATTTGGGGACAGAGGGAACCACAGGGCGACTGGAATGCCATTATGGACAGGGTCAAAGGCAACATCGTGTGGTGGAACAATCAGCTCAAGGAATTGGGAGTGGATCAGGCCGCCCTAATCGGCGAGCCCGACCCGCTCACTTATGGATTGAGTCTCATCTTCACCACGTTTGTTGATCGACTGAAGGAATGGTTCCACAAGGAGATTGCCAGTGACAACGATCGAATTCGGTGGATTCAGAATGACATGCTTCCACCGAGGCTTGAGCTCAGGGACTACTTTCCCAAAGGCTCCGCTATTGAAAAAAATCAATAGCTATTGAAAAAATCAATAGCCTATTGATTCCTTTGAAAAACCAATCGAAAGATCAATAGATTGGTATTTTCTGATTTCAATCGAAAAATCAATAGAAAAGTTGCATTTTTAAAGAAAAATGTTTTTTTTCAAAATCAATCGAGAAATCAATCGAGAAATCAATCGAGGAATCAATCGTGACAAGTTGTTTTTTAACCTGAAATCTAGCCATCCTATTTAGTGGCAGGATGTATGTACTTGTGGCTGTCCAGCCACCACTTAAATGCAATCTGGCTTTTCAAAGGCTTTGGCTAAACAGCCACCACACTCCAGCAAAAGTGTTGTGGCTATCCAGCCACCACATGAAAGCTTTGTGGCTATCCAGCCACCACAGTCAACTGCAGTCTTTTGGCTATCCAGCCACCACACTCAACAAAAGTCTTTTACATGGCTATCCAGCCACCACATGAAAGCTGCACATTGTGGCAGGGCCTGCCATTTTTCACACTTCTTCATTTTCTTCTAGGTCTGGATTAAAAATCCCTTCCGGCATCAGGTGAAAAGCGTATTCAAATTTGGCTAGAACCTTGGAAGGGAGCATCCATGCAGGTGTGCTTTTCACACTGCTCCCAGCAACTGCCACCATCAGGGACATGAAGCTTTCTCCCCCATATGCCCAGCAGCTCCTTGGTGCCAAGTATTGGCACTGTGCTGGGTAATGAGCCATGAGGTGGTGCTTCTGCACCAGGCTCCACATACATTCTGCACTCTTCATGCTATTCTTTGCCAGCCATGAATAGTGTCCTAGGATTGCCTCAGTCTTCTCTTGAAACTGCTGTCCCACCTTCTTGTCCCAAACATACTCCTTCAAGTCACAAAGGTCATAGGCTTCCTCCATGGCCTTGCACAAAGCTTCCATGTGTTTTCCTTTTGTGTTTGTAGCCAGGGTCCCAGCCAACAGTGTCGCCACAGTGGCAAATTTCCTGACTCTCCTCCCTTTCACATGTTTCAGGCAAGGGAACTCATCACCAAAGATGTCTGACACATTGAGTCTGGGTATTCTTTCCCCTGCTGGGGTTTCAAGTTCCTCATATCTCATGGCCACCATCTTGTTGACTTCCACCAAAGCCCTTTTCTTTCCCATAGGAAGGCTCTTGACGATGGTTGCCAAGAGGTTCCCATGAATGTGGGATGCCACTCCAAGGTCTACAAGGTGCAACAGATCCAATTTCATGCTCCAGAAGGAACTTCCTGGCACTCCAAATAAGGGATGTGATACTGGTGGTGGTGCTGACACACTCCTCAAAGTAGATTTCCAAGTTGCATCTTTCCTGAAATCTGTAAATGGCCGCACGCTCTTCTCCTCCTCAAAGTAGTTGTCACAAAGGCAATATGGGCATGGGTTGTTGCTCATGGCAGTGGGCCACCCAAAGTCACTGGAGAACCATTCCAAATCTCCTGCCACCACAAACAGAACTCCTTTTCCTGCTTCTGCCATCTTCTTGAAGCTGCCAGCAATTGCTTCCCATATAGGCTTCATCGAAGAAGCAGTTCCTGCACTCTTGGGGAGGCAAGTCAGTAGCAGCTGAGATTGTTTGATGGCCACACCAGAGATTGCGCATCTCATTGACACAACCAGCAATGAATCCACCTCACTGTAAGGGGCACTATCTCCATGGATGAGCCATGGAATTGGCCAGCTGCTCCCACCTCAGGTTGCTATCTTCACATAATGGCTATCTTCTGATGGTTTCTTGACATACTAGCAAAAACAAAAAAGAAAAAGGCAAAACTTATCCTCAAATTCCAGCATCGAGTTTCCTCTCACTTTCTTCCAGAAAGATTTCCAGCATTGCAGTTGGGGATTGTTTTTCCAATCCTGTTTCAACCAGAACTCCTTCAAAGTTTTCTGGCTGCATGCCAATTCTTGCAAGAGGTTCTTGTTCTGCAGTGTATCCACCCATGCCTCAGGCAATATTACAGGTAAATCTTTCTCTTTCTCCAGCACAAGTCCCTCAGCATTCTTAACTCTGACCACAGTGGCCACCTGCACTGGCTGTGGCGAAGACATGCCACCAAAGAAAGCCCTGACCAAGTCCCTGTGGCAATTTTGCTTGGCAAAACCACTACCTCCAAGTTTGGCCAGAGTGTGGAGGTCCTGTCCGCTTGCACCACTCATCATTGCTGCAGCAGCATACTGCTGCACTTCACAGGCACTGATTCTCCCCCAGCAAAATTTGTTGAGCAGCATGATTGCCAAAGGGGAGGTGAGCTGCATCTCATCGCCAGGGTCAGGCACATGTTTCCTTTTTTTCCCTTGCATATTTGCTATGTTTTCCTTGGGCCTCATGCATGATCACCACCTGCAAGCAGGGCTGTCCAGCCACTTAAAAAACTTCATGGCTTTCCAGCCACCACATTCAAAAAGAAACTTGTGGCTATCCAGCCACCACACTCCAAGAAACAAGTCTTTTGGCTATCCAGCCAACAAGAAAATACCTGCCTACTCCTATGGCTATCACTCGCCCATTTTTTCTTCTCACAGAAGCTGCCCATGGAAATCCACAGCAGGTCCATATCTAATTAGGTTCTGGCTGCTCCTCTTTCTTTTCCTGCTTTCCATCTTCAGCAGAGTCAGTAGCAGGCCTTGCAGGGTTCTCCTCCTGTCCTTGCTTCTTCTTCTTCTTCTTCAGTCTCCACAACTTCTGGACTAGGTGGTATCAGCACCTGGCTATCTTCATTGGGGTCCAGAACCCAGTGTGCATACCTGGGGTTTGCTGTCTCCTCCCCCTTCACATACAAAATCTTCCTTCTCTTGGCCATGGTGCTGTGATTGCCTTGAACCCAAAAATTCTGGAAGAAGAAGTGGTTACAGGTGCTGAAGCAAGGTTTTATGGCTATCCAGCCATCACACTTGAGATTTAACAAGTTTTCATGGCTATCCAGCCACCACACTCCAAAACAACAATTCTTGTGGCTATCCAGCCACCACTGTTCAACCTCCTGACATTTTCCAGCTTCCCAAGCTCTAGAGCAATCTGCCTCGGTTTGAGGACTTACCTATCCTGCCTCAATTTGGGGACTTCGCTGCTTCAGTCTTCCTCCTCCTCTTCTTTTTTAGCCTTCTTCTTTGGTGGTCCTGCTACCAACTTCTTGCACTTCTTGCTTTTCTCCAAGGCTGCCAAGCTCTCCAACAATGCCTTCTTGCTTTCTTCCTTCTTGCTTCCACTGTTGATGGCCTTCTCTATCTTTTTCTGGCAGGTCTGCACTTCTGTCAGGGCAGAGCTCAGGATTTTCAATTCATCCTTGCAGCCAGCTTTGCCTTTCATATCCAACTTCGCCTCCTGCAAGGCACCTTCATCCTTGCAAAGTTCTGCCTTGAATGCCAGCAGCTTCTTGAGCAAAGTGCTTTTGTTGTCATCCTTGCTGACATTGCTCATCTCTTCCCACTTGTTCTTCTTCTCCTTGGCCTCTTCCTTTTCCTTCTGTTTCTTCGTATCCTTGTCCTCATCATCTTTGACAGAGAGCTGCTTATTGAAGAAGTCCTTCAGCTCAGGCTCGATCTCCATGTCATCCAGTTGATTGCCAGCTAAGGCAAAGCTGGCATCCCCAACATCTTCCAAGTTGAGGTTCTCCATGCTGAGCCAGTCATCTTTTCCAGCCTTGTGTTTGTCAGTCTTGTAAGCCACAGTCTGGCTTTTCTTGGCCTTCCACTTGACATATTCACTTTCATCAGCAAACTCGAAGAACCTTGGGTCTGCGGGTGACTTGCGAAACTTCATTGTTCCTGCTTTCAGCCTGCTCATGGCTTCAACCTTTCCATATTTGTCCACCTGCTGCTTCCATGTGTTGAACTTCACCATGCCTCCCTTCTCATCAGTTTTCTCATAGACCAGCATGGCCTCCTTGTAGTTCTTGGCAATGGACCCTCCATCAAGGATGAAGGACCTCAGCAGCTTGTGCTTCCTCTCCTGGCTTCCAGTTCCTTTGGTGGCTTCCTTGTAGGAGCTCTCAGCTCCAGCCATCTGCCTATTCTTCTCAAACTTCTTCCACAGGCTCTGGACCTCATTTGCAGGGAGTTTGGCAAGGGCCTTGTCAATCTCCTTGGCTGAGCAGAGCTTGGCATCCAGCAGCTGCTGGTGTGTCTTCAGGTTTTTGGATGTGACTGTGTGTACAACTTCATCATCAGTGAGCATTTCTTCCTCCTCCCCTTCCTCACCATTGTCTTTCTCAACTTCCTTCTTCTTTTCCTTCAAAATTCCCTTCTTCCCAGTCTGCGCTGCTGGCTTCTTGAACTTTGCCACCTTTGTCACTTTTGCTGCTGGCTTCTTGGCCACTTTGTTTTCCACCTTGGAGCTAGGCCTCTTCAAACCCATGGCTTCCTCCAGCTAAGTGCGGTTTTTCCCTGGCAGCCAAAAGTGCTGCAGAAGATTTGGGTTCATTCCTTCTTTTTTTAAATCTCACTAAAAATCACCAAAATTCACATGTTATCATGTGATAACATGTGATTTCACATGTTTTCACATGTTATCATGTCTTATCATGTCTTATCATGTCTTGTCACGTCTTATCATGTCTTGTCATGTCTTGCCATGGGTTTTCACATCTTATCATGTGATAACATGTGATTTTTTGCCTTTCTGCACTTCTTTTAGTTTCCAATTTCGCAAATCCAGGATAATTGAATTCCAGAATGCTATAATTTCCCAAACTGCTTTTCCTTGGGCCTACATTTTTTTAACCACAAGCCATTTCCAAGGCTTTTCCCCTGGATCTTTGGGCCACATTGTTTTACATGCCAGAGCAAGAATAGTTTTCCCAGGTGCCATCACTTGGATCTGTGTGCTTGACTTTCCAGCAATAGAACAGGTGCATAGCTAGGGTGTAGTTCTCCCAGATATGCCTTCCTTGGACCTTTGGGCTTGCAATTTTCAATATGCCTTCCTTGGACCTTTGGGCTTGCGATTTTCAATCCCAAAGAATGAAGTCTTCCATTTTTTCCTTGGGCCTTACATTTTTTCACATCCAAGAAGGTGTTACCCAACATGCAAAAGGTATAGTTTTTTCCAGTGTCTTCCTTGGGCCTTAGGACCTGCAGTTATTCCAATCCGAGAGACTGTAGTTATCCCATTTATACCTCTAAGTGTTTCTTCAATGCCTGATGGTGTTTCTTCAATGCCTTCCCTGCAGCCTGATGTGTTCATATTTGTTAATTACCTTGTTTTTCCCTAAGCAAGAGTACACACCTCATGGCTATCCAGCCACCATTCAAACACACCTCATTGAAATCTCATGGCTATCCAGCCACCACTTCCATTTATTTAGTCTATGGCCACCCAGGCACCAGGACCACACAAGCAACTCCCACATGGCTATCCAGCCACCACTGACCAATCTTTCAAATCCATGGCCATCCAGCCACCACTGCACACAAGCAACTCCCATGGCTACCCAGCCACCACTCAAAAACACATCACTCAAACAAAAAGTCTCATGGCTATCCAGCCACCACTTCCATTTTTTAAGTCCATGGCTATCCAGCCACCACTTCCATTTTTTAAGTCCATGGCTATCCAGCCACCACTTCCATTTTGTAAGTCCATGGCTATCCAGCCACCACCACAAGCTACCAGCCTTTTTTCCATATATTGTCTCTCCAGCATCCTGCATCTGTCATGCAGTCTTTAAAAACTGGCTCACAGCAGCTGTCATCTGCAGCTACTTGCAGTACTGCATCACCCATGACTCGCCATGGTACTTCGCCAGGAGCTTGAGCAGGTTCTTCTTGCCATTTTTTCTGTTCCCATTGCATTCTGCTTTCATGCAGCCTCTGCATCCTGGCGCTCTCAGCATGTGGTTCTTGTTCACATAGGTGTACTCCTTGCACTCACCACACTGCTTGAAGAGGTTCCAGTGCTCTTCCCAAAAAGATGGGTCCAGGCTCCCATCTTTATACTCAGGCACATTGGGCATGAGCTCCTCAGCCACCTTCTCAGCTTCCTTGCTCTCCTCCTCACTGTCTTCCTCTGGGACCCATACCAAGTATCCTCTGGGTCCTGTTCCCATGGCTTCATCTTCTTCCTGGACCTGGTTGTCCATGTAGTCGATCATCTCCTCCAGGAAGGTGTCAAAGGCAAAGGCCATTCCCTTCCCCTGCTTCTCCTCCACATACTTGTGGTAGGCCTTCCTCAGGTGTACTCTCAGGCTGTCCTGGCAACACTGGGACAGCACCTAAGCCTGACCAATCTCATGGCTATCCAGCCACCACATTAAATCCATACAAATCCCATGGCTTTCCAGCCACCAAAAAAAACAGAAATCCCATGGCTACCAGATATTAAATCCCATAATCCTGTAACTATCCAGCCACCAAAACCATGCAAATCCCATGGCGACCCCCCCCAAATTACCCTGCCTCCTTCAGCCATCCCAACTCCATCCTCTCACTAGCTGCCATTCCCAGCCGATCCTGGAATTCATTCCAGGCCATCTCGGGTGCCTTCTGGTGGTGGAGCTGCCTCAGCATCTCTCTGTAGCCCTTGCTCTGCAGCCCACCCTGGCTGGGGTTGAAGTCCTGCAGTTTTCCAGCCATACTGCCACTGCCAGTTGAGCTGGCTGGGCTACCTCCCAGCTTTGCCCTTTTCTCTCCTTCTTTTCCCTTGCCCTTCCCTTCTAAGCTGACCTTCTTCTTGCTTCCTTCCTCCTCTGCTGTGCTGCCTTCCTTCTTGCCTCCTTTTCCTTTTTCTCCACCATTTCCACTGTCTCCTTTTTCTTGTCCTCCACCATTTCCGCTTTTTCCTTCTTCTTTTCCTCCAACTCCTTTTCCTCCACCTTTTCCTGGCTCAGTGGCAGCAGCTTGTGCAGGCTGGGCAGCCTGCTGGGTGGCCTGAGGCTGGGCAGCCTGAGGCTGGGTGGCCTGAGTGGCCTGAGGCTGGGTGGCCTGAGTAGCCTGGGGCTGGGTGGCATGAGTAGTGCTGTGGAGTCCAGTTCTGACCACTCCAGCCATTCCAGTCTCCACTCCAGCCAGTCCATGTACCCCAGGAGTCAACCCACTGGTTTGCCATGGCTGTCAGGCACTGGAGTCAAGTGTGCAGTTTCTCTTGAGCCGCGATGCCACAGAAATCATTCTTTTGCCTGAAGCTAATCCATGGCTATCCAGCCACCACACTAGGCTTAGACAAATTTCATGGCTATCCAGCCACCACACTTCCCTTAAGTTACAAGTCTTGTGGCTATCCAGCCACCACAGACAACCCAGACAAATCTCATGGCTATCCAGCCACCACACTTCCCTTTACAAGTCTTGTGGCTATCCAGCCACCACTGACTGATTTGCAAACCCATGGCTATCCAGCCACCACAGACAACCCAGACAAATCTCATGGCTATCCAGCCACCTCTTGACAAATCCCCACCCAACCTTGTGGCTATCCAGCCACCACACTCTAACTCACTAGAGCTTTCTTTTTGTCTCTCCAGCTTCCTTCAGGTGTCTTCCTCACTTTGCCAATTTTTCCTTGGCTGCCAAAACATCAGCTAAGGAGCTACCCTTCTTCAGCATCTCCATGAGCTTCCTTGCAGCCTTGCTGTTCTTCTCGACATTCTTGAAAGTCACCACCTGGAAAAGCTGCCCAACACCCTTTGCCACCACTGCCACAGCAGTTGTCTTCCTATAAGGCATGAGCCTCATCTCAGCTTCCTTGTAGTCGACCTTGTCCTTGTTCACCTTTGCCTTTGCTATCTTACTCTTCTTGTTGATCTCCTTCAAAATCTTGCCTGCAGGCTTCTTGCTCCCAGCTGCAGCAGGCTTCTTCAAGCCCATGGCAGCTTTGAGGTTCTGCTTCCTGGCAGGCACAGGTGACACTTGCAGGGCAGCATCCAACAAGCTGGGGCCATCCTTTCCAGGAGTTCTGGGGACTTCCAAATCCAACAAATCTTGGGTCTCACAGCTTCCTTCCTCATCTTCTCTTGATTCTTCTTCCTTCTTTGCCTTTGACCCTGAAGCACCACTTTTCATATTTGGCCCTTTATCTATGTCCACACCAAATGCTGCCCTCAACCCTTCCAGCTTTTCAACTTGCCAGTCACTGAGGGTACTGCAAGCCTCTTGAAACTTCTGGGGCACTCTCAGTCTTCGCATGTGTGTGCACATGGTCATGGTTGATTCAGCCAACTTCCCACCCAGTGTTGACCTCATCTCCAAATCAAAGCTTTCCTTCAAGCCAGGGAAAGCTCTGCACACTTGGGTGAACCCTTCTTTCAAATCCTTGTAGTTGAAAAGGAGCCCATCACTCACTGCCACCAACTTCAACAAGAAGTCTTCCTGAGCTAGTAGGGCTCCAGCATTGATAGCTTGTGCCTTGCTGATGCTCAGATACTTGCCAAACTGAAAAGCCTGGGAGTGCCCCACCTTCTTCACATGGTCCTTCAGGAGGTCCTCCAGGTGCTCCATATCTATGGTGGGTGTTGCTTGCCTTCTGCAGCCTCCTTTGCCCATGGTGATGTCAGGCACTGGAGTCAAGTGCAAAGTTGCTCTTGAGCCAGCATGCCACAGAAATCATTCTTTTGTCTGAAAATAATCCATGGCTATCCAGCCACCACACTAAGCTTAGAAAATGTCATGGCTATCCAGCCACCACACTCTCCTTTACAAGTCTTGTGGCTATCCAGCCACCACTGACTAATGGGCAAATCCATGGCTATCCAGCCACCTTATTTAAAGCAACCCTCACATGTGGCTAAAGCAACCCTCACATGTGGCTTATATCCAGCCACCAGAGTCAGCCCTAACATGTGGCTATCCAGATGTATCTAAAATTCAATCGAGAAATCAATAGAAAGATCAATCGAGAGATCAATAGAAACTTGTCTGTTTTTCAAGGAAAAATGCTTTTCAAAAATCAATCGGAAATTCAATCTTTAAATTTTCAAAGAAAGCAGAATCTATTGAAAAAAAGCTGTTTTCAATCGAAGATTGATTTTGCTAAAAAATCAATCGTCCTATTGATTTTTTTCAATAGAGGAGCCTTTGGGTTCACGCATTCGAGACCGAGCTCAACCGAAGTGAAATGATCGGATATGTCATGGCAACTCTCCACATGTTGCACATGACGGACATCTTGATTCCTCAGTACAACCTGTCTTTGTACAAGCGCAGGCGCCCTGCAGGAGAGGCTACAATGCGTGATGTCACACCAAAGATGGAGCACCTCCCAGTCAGGTTTGTGCAGGTCCTCAACGCTCTCCGTGAGAAGACGAACAAATCTGCACCGAGCGTCTCGACCCCAGAAAGCTTCACAGCAGAGGAGTTGAGAGCTCGCCCGACCGATGCTGGTGTCGCCGAAGATGATGATGAAGAAGGCGACCCATGGGATGCTCTGGATCCCGACGAGCATGAGGGCCCATCGGTTGGCAAGGCCAAGGCCAGCCACGCAGCTCCACCTGACCCCAAGGCGAAAGCTCCAGCGACACAGGAGGATTCAACTCAGGCCACCTCAGCTGGTGAGCCCCTGCAAGAAAACGAGATCAAGGGTACCATCATTCCGAAACATGCACTTGGACACCTTGACAAATATCGTATCACTTTGGACGAAAACATAAATGCAGAAGTAGTTGAACATTGTGTCGTTGATGCCCATCCCTACGAATTGATCGTCAAAACCTGTTGGGAGATGGATGGGGCAAAGGAGCTGAGGTACCCAGATCGCATGGACCGACACAAGACTAAGGTCAATGCAGTGACGCGTGGACAGCCGGGTCAGGACACCTCTGGATTTGATGAAAACATGTGGCTTGACCTTGATGACTTCTTTCGAATGTTCAATCAAATGCTGCCAGCCAAGTTGCCTCGGATGACGGTTGAAGAGATCATCTCCCTTCTTTGGTGGGACAGCAAGTGCCGTTTTGAGTTTCAGTGCATTGCCGGGTACCAGAAGGCAACCCGTAAAGGGTTAGCCTACTGGCCCATCAGAATCCGCGCAGTGCAGGGGCACACGAAACGCGCCATGGATGCCGCTTCGGCTGAAGACACGTTCAATCCAGTGGAAATCTATGCTCTGTCTGGAGCAGCAGCGATCCAGAAAATGAACGCCAAAGGTAAAAAGATTACCACTCCTCAGATGTGCCCCGGCGTAGTTTATCACAGGACTACAAAAGGCAATTGGAAGGGCATCATTGAGAATGGCTTCGTTGCTGGAGGAGGAGAACGAAATTCATCAGGCAGAGCACACTCCTATTTTAGCGAAGTGCGTGTCGACGAGAAAGAGTATGTGAGCGGTTTGCGTGCTGAACGACCCATTGAAATCAGGGTAGCAATGGCTGAAGCTGTCAAAGCTGGCATTGTGTTTTTCAGGACGGCCTCTGACGGCATTTTGACAAGTGACGTCGTACCGCCTCAATACATTATCTCTGTCGATGACACTGCCAAGAAGGTGAATTTGTATCGCCGCCATCAGGAGGTCGCACAGTCTGCAGCAAGCAGTGGGGGAGAAGTTGGAGTCCAGGAGCTTGTCGAGACCTTTGAGGCCAAGGCATCAAAACGGACTGGTTCCAAGTCTCCGGCCGCCTCAACTGGCGCGCCCACTGCAACAGCATTTTTCCCAGGAAAGGTGAAGCCTCCGCCACCAAATGTGGCCCAACTTGCCGGTATGCCTGGATATGCAAGCAGCAGATTGTTGCCCCCTCCTCCGAAGGGTGAAGCTCCAAAGCCTCCTGCAGCAAAGGTTGAAAGCCCAAAGACACCGCCGAAAGCGCCTCCAAAACCATCACCGAAGGAAGGGACTTCTGCACCTCATGCACCAGAAGTTCCAAAAGCTGTGACCTCAGAAGTTGATGCAGCAGCAAAGGATGAACCTGCAAAGAAGAAGGCAGCCCTGACAAGCGTGCCCGCAGCTGTGCCTGCGGCACCATCAGCTGCGGCCTTCTTGGAGCCTGTCTCAAAAGTTGCACCGCCGAAGGCAGTACAAAAAGAACCAAAAGCTCCAGTTGCAGAGTCACCCAAAAAGACGCCGGCATCAACATCCAAGTCACTGGTGCCAAAGCAGAAGTCTCGCCCTAAAGGCGATGACCAACCTTCGAAGAAAGAGGTGAAGAAGGAGGACAAGAAGCCGGTGCCGGTCAAGATTGAAGTCATGCAATGTTCAAGATGTTTTGCACAGACTTTCAAGGGACAGATTGAATGCGATGTGTGTGGATTGATGCTCGAAGGGGTGAACAAGGCCGACCGAACCAAGATTGCAGAACGAAGGAAGGCCGCCCTTCACAAGCTGGGCTTGTACTATGATTTTCGTGGTGAGTACCTGCAGAGCATCACACACAGTCAGCTTGAATCTTTGGGTTTGTTGGACGACCAGGCAAGAGGAAGCTCTAGTCCGGAAGCCAGTCTATTGGCAAGGGCAAAGAGTCGATTCGACCGTGCCTTGAGCTTGGGCTATGTGTCTGTGGCTGACAGGTTTGCCCAGGACGCCACATTCGCAGAGAGCGTGCTGAACGAGGGGGAGAACGAGTACGATTGTGAAAGGTACGACCTCCTCAAGTCTGCACATTTGCCAAAGCCAGGTCGTACCAAGGCTCAGGTCAAGATGGGTGTTTCTGAGCAATCTCAGCTGGAGCACAATGCGATGAGGCTGGTTTACTTGGATTTGGCAAGCCGTCTTGATGTCCCGAAATCGTTCAGGTACATCGACCAACCATGGTTCTACATGTACCGTACGGAAATCTACTCCGAGGAAGAGTACATTGACTATCTCAACCGGAATCCTGGACACAATCTTTTGTTGTCTTGTACTGGTGTTGACAACATTGCTGTTCATGATGCTGAACGTCATTTGAGGTGGATCAAGGGACAAAATGAGGAGCTGTACAAGCAGAACGCTGCAGAGAAGAAGAAGCAGTCTGACAGGGCTCGCGAGCAGAACGAGGCCAAGCGCAAAGCTGAGCAGACTGGAGCGTACGGCCAAGGTCCCTCCAAGAAAGGCACCGCCAAACCGGTTGCCCGACCATCCACCGTAGAGGTAGCTTCATCATCAACGTCTGCAAGTCAGTGGATCAACCGCCCTCAGCAAAGTCAGTCCCACGATGATCGCCGTTACACTGGAGAATGGCAGAAGTGGCATGGGCGCTGGTACGAGAAAGTCATCAGGCATGGCCGTGTTGAGTGGGAAGAGGGATAAGTTGTGAAACTGCTTGCATCGACGATCGGTTTTTGTATAATAGCCGCTGAGTGTGTTTTCCCTTGGGTTTGCGAAGAGCCAGTTCGGTGAGGCAGGTCTTAAAGACCTCGCCCTGGTAAATGTGGCATCCTCGCCGTAACCGGCTCACCTGAGGGGGGTGTAAAAGCACCTCACATAAAACACACATGTATACTAGCATGTTACCACAGCTGTTGCGGCTCAGTAAAAAGCGCTGCTGCCGGCCGCAGGTGCTTAACGGTTATATTGTTTTGCCCCATAGGTTTATCAGTCTATTTGGGATTATAAGATAACCCCAGCTGAAACCTGAAAATACAAGTGCTTCATAAATCCTTCATATCCCCTTTTTAGATCTTTTTAGATTGGTTGTGGCGAGAGGTATCGAAGAAGATTCTTTGCAACAAGATTCTACAATTCTATCGTTCAGAAACAGGGTAGTGTCAGAAACCACGTCGAAGGGATTCCCTTGGAGTGTGATATAGTGTGATGCTATGCGGCTATGCGCTATGCTTATCAGAACTTGTAATGTCCATGGTGAGGTGCCCACAATTCGTAGGATGCCAAAGGCATGAAAATTCTGGTGGTAGCTTCGGTTGAAAGGTGCACAAAGATGCATAAGATGCATTGGCAGCAGTCAACCCCTGTAGTTAACCCGGCGCAGAAGTTTGTGACGTTTGAGAGGTTTTGATTGCTGTACTCCAAAGATCTCCAAAGATTTCTCACCACTACTGACACTGCAGCATGAAGAGAATCAAGCTTGTTGCGTAGCCGATGCACTGGAATTGGTAGCTGCAAGCAATCCACAAGTCCAGCATTCCATCGGGGCACAGTATGAAGGGTACTTTGCTGAGCAATGCTGTGACCGAGATTTCCAAGCAGAAGCTTCAAGCGACAGTACAGACTGGGGCTGTGCAAATCAAAAAGGGCTGAAGAATGCTGAAGGTAAACCTGGGATCTCGCGCTGTGTTTCTTTTGGGATGGAATAGAAGTGGGCAATGGCATTTAGAATCGGCGACAGTACAGGGATTCTAAATGATTCTAATGCTACTGGGTGAGGCATTATACAACTGCCATCCAAGCTGCAAGGAAGCCTTTGCCCGATTGCGTGCCTCTCAGCCCTGTGGACAGGGAGGTATACACCGCAGACATCCGCAGACAATGTTCCATACTGGGGCTGATTGGTTCTGGTCGTACCAATGTTCAATGGCAAGCAGATGATGGTGAGCAAGGCTAGTTGGAAGTCATGAGCTCTTCCAAGACAAAGAGGGGGGCGTGCACCATTTGATTTTCACAGTGCGTTTATTTGACG